CTTCCATTGACACCCGTGATAGCACAACCACCAGTAGTACGTCCAACAAAACGTCAATTATCAGAAAAAGACATTATCATAGACAGAAATGGACAAGTGAAACGAAAAAGACAACATCGACGTGGTAGACCATCTCAACAGCAACAACAACTTCAACAACAATTTCAACATACAGCTAGTAAAACCGCTACGATTTTGCCAGCACGATATAACGAAGTTAAAAATGAATTTGTGAGAAATTTAAGGAGTTCGTTCAATGGTGGTGGTGGTGGTGGTGGTGGTGGTGGTGGTGGTAATGGTGGTGGTGGTGGTGGTGGTGGTGGTGGTGGTGGTGGTGGTGGTGGTGGTGGTGGTGGTGGTGGTGCTTCAAGCAGTGCCAGTAGTCAAATTGGAAATTGTGTAGATTATGCCTTAAATGGAAGAAGATTACGACAACGACAAAGCAGTGAAAAATTACCACCACCGGATCCACAGCCACAAAAGAAGTGTAATACAACCTCCTCTCCTAAATGTTCACCCATGAAGCAAAGTACTCCTGACATATCTTTGGATGATCTTAAGTCATCGGTGAATATTTACTTCGGAGCTGCCAACAGGATAGCAGCAGGTGAGAAGTTTGTGATCAAGGCGAAAAGGGTAGGACCTAATGGTCAAACGCAGTATCTCATAGAATGGGAAAGTCTTAACACTTAACGGTAAAAATGTCATTTACATCATGGTCAGGTAATAATGCTCGACCAAATAATATTGAGTAGAGAACAACTGTTATCTGACAATCTGGATACTTAGGATGAGAATATCGTAACGAATCGATTTGTGTTACTCACTGCCATTCGTTAAATACATTTATCTATAATGAGTATGTCTATTAATTGGTTCATGATGTTTGATTGTTCTTATAAGTATATATTATTAGAATTTAGATTTTTTAAGCATACAGTATAGATTAATGAAACTTATCATTTAGACTACAATTATCAAAAAGAAGAAAAAAAAAGAAAAGAAAATAAGCCATCATTGCTGGTCAATGAATTGAAGTTTTCTAGAAATTTAAAAGTTGGGCCTATCATCTCTCTTGATTTTCTTTTGCGCAGCACTGAAATAATAATATTTGATTCCATAATAAAATTATACCGTCCAAATTTATTATCCAAGCAAATGTTAGGTCATTAAAGTTGAATAAAAACGTTTAAAAGATTATTACATCAAAATAAATTGGAAGATATACCAAGAACTTATAAGAAGAATCAAATATGCATATACCAATTATATCTTGTAAATAATGTAGTATAGTAGTCTAACATTAAAAAATCAATAAACGTGGGTCATGTGAAAAGCAAATGAAGTCACGTAGGCTCTGTCTTTTTTGGAGAGCAAATTGATTGTCTCTCATCAAAATTATAGGGCAAAAACCATAGTTATGATAAAGATAATCGTGAATCGATGCAGATGGTTGTTCCTGTCATTTGAGCTATCGTAATAGTACATGTTAGTAGTGTGTAGTACAGAATAAGATGAAGCAGACATACTGCGAAAGATTATTTTTTAATACAATCATAAGACATACGATCTTCAATTTCTGCAACTTTACCATCATTTAAGTCATTGATTCATACAAAATATACGAACACGAAAAGTCTAACAAATTATATTGGTATTTTACAATAGTAATAATATTACGATAAAATGAATTTATTTTTATTACGCCGAACCTTCGAGACCGTATTTGGATAGTTTAATTACGATCACATAGATGTCCATTTCTAATGAGATAGAACTTATAATGACTTAAGATGCTGAAGATGCAGAATAAATTATTGCTCCCTATTATGCAAAACTAAAAAAGAAAGCACATGCTTGTTTCATACCACGTGTAAGTAAAAGAACAATTACAATTAATCTCCTCCTAGATGTTCGAACAACCTACTCTGCGGAAGTATAATAGACAATTGACTAATTTATCTTCGTTGACTTTTCACACGATATAAAATAAAACCGTATATAAGATTCTTTAAGGTGCCGGATGTTTCATAATTTGATATGTTTTAGAATCCGTATTGCACGGTGTCTGTGATCTGAGCAATGCTAATCGGACAAAGTATCCGATGAAAGCCAATCATAAATATTGGTAATGACTTAATTATTATGAGATTATATCCTAATTTAAAGAAAAAGGGTCACATATTTAACGTACAATTTTGCAAGACATCATCAATCGCTCATACAAATTTTATGTAAGAAAATTTTCACAAATTTGGACTATGTATTTATCTAATCGCAGATTTTTGTTTTTTAATTTAATTTAATTTTTATTATAAATATGATATTTCTCATATTTATGCAAGCATTCCTATTTTATTATGATACGTAATGTGGTAAATAATCTACATAAAAATATTTAAACAAGTTGCAGTAGGGATTTATACTGTGATGGAATATATAATTAAAACAGCCGAAATGAAAAGAACAAGAAAAACAAACAAACAAACGAATAATTTATTAACAATAGTATCAGATTCTACAGATACCATCTTCGTCGTCATCTTAAAAGCGATTAACTTTAGACTGGTTTTACAACTTTAAAGTTATATTATATTAGACATTGAAAGAATCTTCATACGCAAATGTTTGCGAACGATTTATTATCTCAATCGCTTACATCTAAAGATTTTTTTTTTACATCTAAATGTTTTCTTAATGCGATTGTGAATTTATTGTATAGCATTGGGATTGCAATTTTCTTTGCACTTTGGCCTACATAGAGAGGCTCATAATTGTATTAACAGAAATGATATTGTTTATTTCAATATGTCAGTGGTATATTTTTGATCTGATTTGATTTGTCGATTTTTCCAAATTATACTCTTCCCCCCCCCCCCCCTACAAATCCTTTTATCAATTTATTATACAAACCAATGAATTTCAACTAAAATTATCACTGACGTATCGAAATCTACAAGTATTTTCTTTTTTTTTCTTTTTTTATTAGGAAATGATTTAAGTCACACATATATTATGTTTATCACTTTAATATATGTAATCATATTGATTTGTTGCTGTTCTATTATCATCGTGTCGCATTCAATTGTTATATTATCATAATATTTAGAGTATCGAAATTTTGCCTAGATTAAAAAAAAAAAGGAAAAGTTAATCTCCAAACGTGATCTATGTAATATTTACATAAATTATGTTTTTTAAGTATACTTTTCTTTTAACATACGTAAAAATATGATATACAACAATATTAAATATTGTTTCTCATCCCTAGAAATATATATATATATATACATATATATATATATATATATATATATATATATATATGTGTGTGTGTATACCATATATATATAGATAACGTTGGACGGATATAAAGAATGGACACTGCCAAACGCTAATAAGTTATTTTTCTGAATAACAATATATATAACGATATTATATATTACATATTTTATGTCGGCAAATATTAAGACAATTTCTTTTTTATTCATCTCTTTTTTATTTCATTATTATTATTTTTTTTTCTTTTTCTATTCGCTTTATACATTTGCAAGAAAAATAAAAAAAAAATAAAATCTCGAATGCAATATGGAGGAAAAAAGATTGATCTTAACAAAAAAAGAAAAAACAAAGGAACATACGTCACAACGAATAATTAATAAATTAGTTATTAATTATAGATTTTTTCTCCCTTTTTTTTTTTTTCTTTTTTAATTTACGTATATACATGTGCGTTCACATGAATAATTTATCAAAACGCTCTTGAGTAGATTAAAGTATAAAAATAAGAAAAAAGAAAATAGATAATTAAGAGATAAATAAATCAAGAAAAAAATGTTCATATCGATAAAGAAGAAAACTGAATTTTCAATGCCGCTTCTGCTGCTATCTATGCGGAGGTTTAGTAATTAAAAGACAGTTTTTATTTTAATGATCTTGATTGTTTGATAAAAAAGTTAATTAATCGATTTAATGCTAGGATAAATGAATTTTGGCTCATAATGATTTAAATAAGGAAAATTCTGGTTAAACCAAGAGAAAGCAAATTGTACTGCCATTTAACGTACGTAAAACGTATTACATACTGTTGTGTGGTGTGTGCTCGCGCGTGCGTGTTGCCTGTGCATCTGTGTGTATGATATAAAATCTCTTTATTTCCAATTTTCCCTTATATATAATTTTTTTTAAAATAACCTATACTTGTGGACTACTTTTTACATATACATACGTGCTTACAGACGGGAAATTTTGTAAACAAGATCTTTCTTAATCTTTTAATTTATCCCACATGTCAATTCCATTCATTCTAAAGTCATGCAAATAATTCTAATCCTAAAATATTTCTAATCCTAACCTCAAAGTTTCACAAAATGGTATAAGAAATTTCAAAGAAGCGTTATGCTATATGCAAAAAAGTACGTTTCATAAACAGGATTTAATATTTCTACATCGCTTTTGTATATGTAACATTACATTAATCTCTTAATCTCGATCTCATTTATAAATAATATAATACATTTATAATTATTAAATTACTAATTACATACTATTAATGTTCATTGTAAAAAACCAAAAACATGCCAAATATTCGCCTATGTATATAAGCATGACGCTTCTGTGTCGATATATTACCGACATTAATTAACTAATTTTTCTTTTATTTTCTTTTTAATTTCTTTTTTCGTTTAAATATTCAAGTAAAAATTTAATTAAATAACGACAAATTGTGAGCAAATATCTTTTTTAGATAATGTAGAAAGATACAGTATGTGAATTATGAATTTCAAAGTCTATTCTATGTCAAACATATTCGATTGAGAGAAATGATTTCTGAAGATTTTTAAAAATTAAACTGATCAGCTGTGAATAGACGGATAAAGAGAGAGCGAGCGAGAGCGAGAGAAAGAGAGAGAGAGATTAGAAATAAAAAAAGTACGAATGATTGTTTGTTAATTAGTATGTTGTGTGCATGAAAATGTGAAAAATGCCAATAAAAAATAACAATAATATTACGTTTGTTCGAAGATTCGAATTAAATACGAGCTTGTGTGAATAAAAGAAGGAAACAAAAAAGACAAAATAATTAACAAACAAACAAAATCAAATCAACGATAAGATTATTCTTCTCATAGATTTTTTAATTATTAAACGCAGGTTCTTAGGTTATGCCATCAAAGATATTCTTTTATATGTCGTTTTTTTTGTTTTTTGTTTCGTACATTCATTTTTTTATCTTTTTTAGTGTATAAAAAAAATTAATTAAGACAAATCATGTGTGTATACACCTACTGTACTGTTATAAGAGTATTATTCTGCATGATCCTTTTTTCTTTTTTTTTTTTTCTGACGCTTTAAATCATTGATCGAAACATTTTTATAATGATTTCATTACTATTATTATTATTATTATTATTATTATTATTATTATTATTATTATTATTATTATTATTATATTTTACAATATATATATATACAAGATAATGGAGGCAAGATTAGAATTTGATTTTCTTCTATTTATATGTGTATACATAATATATATATATATATATATATATATATATATATATATATATATATATGTATGAATAGGAACACAGTATATGTATGTATATGTGTGCGTGTATAATAGAAATAGAGGGCTCTGTGCACATATATACACACGTATATGTATATATAATTTGAATTTAAGGTTAACTTTATGAAATGAAGTTTTTTCAATTCTGTTTTCCTAATTTTTTCGTGCTTTCAATAGAGGAATTCGCAAATCGATTGATCAAACGATTTTTTTTTAAATCATGATCATGATGATTATTTTTTATTTAACATGCATCGAGAATTGCTCCTTAAGAAAACACGTTGCCCGTGCTCATTGTTATATTAATTATTATTATTTTTTTTAACTCAGCTTGTGTATAAAGAGACTGATACATAAATTTCCTTACTCGTCATTCATATATATATATATATATATATATATATATATATATATATATGTATATATGTATGTATGTATGTATGTATGCTAGTTGTATTCATTCGTTTTTCATCATTTTCATATAACTCGATCCACGTACAAACTGATTGAAGGAGTAATAGAGATCATCGATCGAGGACCAACGATCGTAGAATCATTGATGTGTAAAGAAAGAATAAATAAATGATATGTGTAGACTGACATTCTTATTTTATTTCCGTAAGTGTTTAAAATCTATGCAACATAACCTAAAAAACATATCTTATTTGTAAATTAATTCAAATTAATTATTTAAATTATCTATCCTACTTGTTTTTTTGTCCCCTTATTTATGAATAATTAGACTATTTTAATAGAAAATTTTATTGTATAATCCTTTTTAAAAGAAGATTTGGAAATTATGGACTGAATTAATAAAAATCGACTAAACTACAAAATTCAACGTAGCATCGAAGCCCATATGACGAATCGAATCGTGAAGGTTTCCATGACAACGAATGTTTTCCTTTTAATAACTGTTATGGCGGACGTTGAGGGTAAGTTTCTATACGTCACGTTGCTTATAAGCGTAATCGAAGTTTGGCGGATAGTGTGTGTCTAGTGATATATATAAGGTTCGTTCCTTATTTTTTAAATCATAATCATTACCATTTTTCTTTTCTAATTTCCAAATAAAATTGTGTGCATTAGGTGAACGGTAAATTTTATGAGAATAGATGATCATTATTATTTTTTTAATTTTTTTTTTCTTTCTTTTTTTTTCAAGGAAGGTTTCGTTCTCACAATGTTAACTTATTGTCAAAGCTATACAATGCTTTGGCGTTGTTAAAATCTCATAACGCTATAAAAGGAAACTTGTAAGATCTCGTAGGCGAAACTAATATCGCGGGGGCGACATGACGTCTTGTTTTTATCTTCATCGTTTCTTTCCCAGAAGAATTAGCTTAGTCGCAGGTAATCTAGCTTCTTCTATTCATTATATTTTCTCATAGTCTGAGAGAACAATTCGAGTATTTTTCGTGTGACCTTGAGAAGAACGATAAATCGAAAAAGAAGAACAGAATCGTTTGATGTTCGAAGAGGGGATACAGTGTATTATTTTAAAATTATTTTTCGTATGTGAATTATGAATCAATGAAATAGCGATGACTATAAGAAACATTTCTGAAAAATTCTGGTATGTACAAACGCATGTATTTTTATGTAATTATATCGCTAATTTAACAGATATTTTATTATTATTATTTTAATATTTCTACGTATGTGTGTGAGCATATATATATATACATATATATAATGTTTAATGGAATCTGTCGATAAAGAGAATTATCGATTATAGTTGAAAATAATTTGTAATCGACATTTTTACCAACATATTACAATTTGATTAAATTATAATCGATAACTTACCGACAGATCTTCATTATATATTACGTATAACCTACAAACATAAATATTATATTAGATTAGAAAATATATTCTAAATTATATTTTATTATATATTATAATATAATTTAAATATTATAAATTTAATACGAGATAAAAAATATGATTAAAAGAAAAATTTTGGTCGATAATTTACCAACAGATCTTATTGAATGAACCGATTCGAGAACATCATTTTGAAGAAAGAATATTTGAATAAATGGAGGGAGATGCGGCTGAAGTATTATTGCCCTGTGCAATTTGTACACGGACATTCATGCCACGATCTTTAGAAAAACATGCAAAGATATGTGAACGAGCTACGGCAAAAAAACGAAAGCCATTCGATTCGGCTAAACAGAGAATTCAGGGTACTGATCTCGCGGAATTTCTCCCGCGACAGGAGAAGAAAAGATATTCGAATGATGAGAAACATAAATCTTCATGGAAAGAGACGCATGATGATTTTTTACGAACAATTAGGGCTGCTCGAAGTGAAACGGTAAATCTTTGAATGTAATAAATAAACGTAACATGATTGATCATTTCAAATAAAATTTTTATATAAAGATTGGAACGTTCATTCGTGTAAGACTTTGATCAGATAAATATTATGTAACATTAAATGAATAAATTGATTTATAAAAATTTAATTGAAGATCGAATGAGAAATGATCGTTTAAGAGAGAGACAGAGATGAATTATGAATGAGCCCAGATACATAATAATTTCAGGCAAGTATGATAATCAATCAAAGGCAATCGAGTTCCCACGCGTCTTCAGGTGCACCGATGAGAGCTAATGAAAAGGGTACGTGTCCAACGTGTAATCGTCAATTTGGAGTAAAAGCATACGATCGACACGTAGCCTGGTGTAAGGAAAGATCAACGAGATTACCAATAAGTCCAGCTACGAAGAACATTGCTAAGGAACGTTTGGAAGCGCGTATGAAGTATCGTGCGCCGACTTTGAAAAATCGTCGGAAGAATAATCGTGATAAATATTCTCAGAGTTGTACAGCCAATAAAACATCTAACAGAGTGAGAGAAACAGTTTCTGTACCTGATAATACTCGTGAGAAGATCAAGGAGAATATTACTAATTCGCAAAAAACAATCGTAACGTGAGTATTACGTAGCAACGTTAAAAAAAATTGTTGTTAATATTGCAGTTTTATATATCAGGATGATAGAGTCCAAGATGTTGTAGCCCAACATACGAATGTAGATAATGATGTTGTGATCCAATATGTATTAATAAAATACAATATAATATATATTATTACATTACATTACGTTATTACAGTGGCCGAGGGGATCAATCAAATAATGGAGAAACATATAATTTAGGTGAATCTAGAGAAGCAACAAAACGTTCTATAGTTAGGTAAGCTTTTGTTTTCTAATTCTTCTTATAGAATTAGAATTAGAGTGTACTATAAAATGTGATGTGTGGTATGCACGAGGAGAAGGGAAAGGGCAAAGGTCGTTTCAAAAAAGGTCCTCCTTCTTTCTCCTCCTCTTTTTCTTTTTTACGTGTAAAAAATCGGTTTTTCCTTTTTCTCTCGAGTATCATCCTTGACCCTTTTTCCTTCTCCTCAGGCCAACGTCCTCTTTACGTTCGATCGTCCCTGAACTGAGAACTATGAACCCTTCCCTCGATATCTCCTTAAAACACAAGAGAGAACCAGAGATCAAGACATCTCAAACTGATCCCGTCCAATATAATACGACGAAATCTAAAAGGATACAACGGGCTAATATACAAATAAGAAGATTGGATAGTAAAATGATCGAGGATTATTACGACGTATCGTCCAATATCTCTCCCATAGATCGTAATGAGAAAAAAAATCGCACACTAACTTTATCCGGCAGATCGGTAAAAGTCGATCGTATGATCACTGCTAGAAATCAAGGCAATTCGAAAGTAAACGACGTCACCGTTAACGAGAATATTATCGGGATGATCGTACAACCTTGTAATATATACAACGATATAGACAACGGTGAATTAATCACGTGGGAAGGAATGAAAATTGATCGAGAGTCCAATCGATCTAACTTAAAGGACAATGCTGTTAGAGAAATATCATCGGAAAATTGTCATCGGCTTTCTCTTTCTTCTCTTTCTTATTTTCAATCGGACGATAAATCTTCCGATAAAGATACGAGAGATCGAGAGATATCCCAAGTGGAAGATTTATTTATTATCCAAGATGATAATAATACTCGTAGCTTTGAAAATGATCGAGCAAAAAATATAACTTGGTCGAATAGTATACAAAGATTAAATCAAACTTACTTGATCAAAGAATCCGACGATCATGAAATCGTTAATAAGGACATTTTTCATGATTCTAATCGATCTAACGATTCTATTGATATTAATGACAATAAAATTGTTAGATCGATATCGGCTCGAGAAGATCATTATGAAAATGATCATGGAAAGATAGAGATTAATTATGAGATACAATCGGATCATGATACAACGTCTAATTACAGCTTACCAGAAACTAAATCGGAGATTTATGCAATAGAAAAATATGATAAAAATCAAGAAAATTCTAATAATAGTAATAATGATAAATCCGAAGAAGTATGTTATATAAATTCAGTTATCGAAAATAATATGATCGATAATATCGTTCTATTATCATCTTCTTCGGATATAGGAACGATTGTGAACGAGACGTATGATTCACCAGAAAATATAATAATCAAAGGAAACATTGTAACATTGGTTCAAGAAAAAGAAGAAGAAGAGGAAGAAGGAAATAATTCAAGCTTTATTGATTCTACAAATAAGAATGCTTCATCTTACTCACATGGATCTATCGTTCGGACTGATGCAAAGTCCAAAGAACTGCATAACGTATACGCAACGTCTACGAATGCTAGTGAACAAGAAGAAGAAGAAGAAGAAGAAGAAGAAGAAGAAGAAGAAGAAGAAGAAGTAGAAATAGAAGAGGAAGAAGAAGAAGAAGAAGAAGATATGGAAAAAAATATGGATGAGAAAAAGTTAAAGATGATTGATTTTAAAGATCGCGAGAATGATCTGAAAAGATTTCCATCGATTAATTCGAAAACGCATAGAATTCGATCCATCAAAATTAATAGTAAAATTCAAGAAAATTTGAATTTACTTCGTGGTAGTACTGATACATTGATATCATCCGTCGAAGCGATCGATTATGTTAATAACAAACGATCCAATCGTGCGAATTCAACCTACGAAGAGGATAATATCGATCGATCTTATAGAATTGAAAATCGTTATGATAAATATGAATTGTTACCTGAGATTAAAAGAGATATATCAACGGAGAAAAATTCACAAATTTTTGATCAAAATTATTATTGGAAGAAAACGTTGAAATTTTCCAACGATCGATCGATCAATGATCTAATATCACATAATTATAGACAAAGCAGGCTTCACAAAAGAAATCCAAAAATCCGTATCCTTCCACCAATCCTTATTGATTCTTCTTCTCCGAGGATTCAAAGGTGAAAATCTATAATAAAAAGAAAAATAAAAACAATTAAAAAAAAAAAAAAAAAAAAAAAAAAAAAAAAATCATTTTCAATATCAAAATCGATCATCCATCGAATTTATAGGACTTCGAATTCATCTAATCGTCCTCTATGGAGTAATTACATGCGCAGACGACCGGATTTTAATCTCGTGCTTAGGTGTAGAATGTAAGTCGGTATAGTCAGCACGTGTTAATTTCTCATTCGCATTTAATCCATTCATTCAATTAACTTACATATTTGATGACCTTCTTTTATTTAGCATGGATTGTCTAATAGATATTAGTTGCACGTGTGTGTTAATTATATTAGATATATCATAATGTGCAAAAATTTGTGTTTGTTAAATTAAAAATGATTTTTGCTTGCACGATGTGTTATTCTTTATTATCTATCCTTTAGATAGATTTTAAAGAATAGTTTGTTCATCCATTAAAAGTTTCATATGTGCTGGGATATTTTTACACATGTACAAATATAATATATAATATATTAATATATATATATATATATATATATATATATATATGTTTGTATTATTTTGATACGATTTATTTTTTATTTTTTACATTACTTTGATTTTATAATATAAACACACGCACATACATATATAGCTACGTACGTACATATGTATATATGTATGTGTAAAATATCGAATACATGGCTTAAACGTTCAAATAAAAACAATTTAATGAAAAACTAAAGAAGCTAATAATTATAAAGAGTTATGAAAAAAAGAAAAAAGAAACGAATATATGTGTTACAGTGGTGCCTGCAAGGAATACGATCCTTTTGTAATAGCAGAACGACAAATGCAAGATTTGTTATCGGATTCGAGTGATTTATCCTTAACAGAAATTCCATCGTCGTCGTCAACAAAATCACTCCTTCCTCTTTCACATTCTTCCGCTTTCATTAAATACCCATACCAAACTAAAACAAATCTTTTAGAAAAATCCATTACCAACGAATTCGATGAACTCACATCAGATTTTTCGAGCGATTCCACAGAAACAAATTCACTATCGCGTGAAATATTTCTTAAAGATTTTCATGATTCAAAGAAAAACGATCGGACAAAAAAGATTTCTAATAGAGAACTCGGTCGTAGAATGATCATTGACAGATCATTAGCTTTGGGCAAAGAAATTGATCAAGATAAATCTAATAGTATCGATAAGCAATATAAAAATGATATTTTTAATAAAGGAATCTCTAAATCTATACCTAATAGATCACAAACGATTCGTGCTTTTTCAGCACCTAAATCTATTTATCAAAGAAAAAATAAAACTCTTAACGCTAAAGATAATAATAATCAAGAAGCGAAATATAATGATAATAACGTTCGAAACGATTATTTAACATTTTCAAATAGCGATCTTAGCCTTAGCTCGATCGTTTCTTCTGAGATTGATCTAAAACGTTCTAATTCTGTATTCGATCAATTAATAACTTCTTTCGAAGATGATATCGTTGGTAATGATTCTTTTCCATCCTTGAGGTCTCTCCTAAGAAACGAATCCTTGAGAGCTTCATCCAATGGTCCACCTCCTCCTGATAATAACAGGCAATTTGATGGACATATCAGTGACGAGGAATTTTCTTCAGCGGAAAATTACAAACAACAGGAACATAAAATTAATGCTGATTCTGCATACAGCAGGTTAATCTTTTGATTTGTTAGATATTTCATAAGTTTTTCTCGGTGTGTGTGTACACACACATATATTTATTTTATAATATATATATATATATATATATATATATATATATATATATATCTTTAATTTTATGTTTGCTAATTATATAGATACATAACAATTTATTTAAAAATTAAATTAGCTTTTTGGACAATTCTTTAGACAAAAATTAAATTATTTAAAAAAAAATAAACTACTCAATAATATTACAACAATAATAAAAATTAAAGTGTTCAATATTTTTGTATAATATTAGTTTAAATCGCAAATATTCCAACCATGGACGCAGCAGTAACAACGACACGACAAATCGTATGGAGGATAACATGTCCAGGAATAATCGTCGAGAAAGTCAACCATCGATTTCAAAGACGAAATGTAGGATGTCAAGATTTTGTCACGAGTGTGGATCTAGATTTCCTGAGACTGCCAAGTTTTGTTGCCAATGTGGTGTCAAGAGGCTTGCACTTTGATTTCTTTATTTATTTATTTATTTTTTTTTCTTTTTTACATTCAGTGTTGGAAAAGATTTTTTTTTCTTTTCCTTAGAATCGATGATGAATCGTTAATTACGAATATTACAAACAAATGCAATAATTAATTAAACTTCTTGTCAAAACGATACTTGTAATATACTATAATGTAACTTATATATTCAAGTGTCCTTTATTATTATCTCAGGAAGTATTGCATTTTAATTTTGGATTTTAATTCAGATTTAAATAAGTTTATAGAAGAAGGAGGAACATACGCGTGTCCCCTTATAATTTTATTATAAAATAATATAAAATAAGCAGTCTGTATGTCGGAGTACTATGCCAATTTCGATCTGTATTAATTATTTGTAAGTTAAAATTGTATTTTTACAAATGCAATAAAATTATGCTTGATTATTTTGTTATCTTATTATTATATTTTATTTTATTATTTAATATTTTAAGCTTGCAAATCGCATTTTCATTTATTTCACTTTCTCAATCTCGTCTGTAAAATTTTTCGAGAGTAACATAATAAATGCTCGTATTTTCTTTGTTAATATTAACAAATGAAAATAACAACATAGAATTAAGGTTATCAGACTGTATCAGAAAAAAAGATTCTGTATTCCTTGAAAATGTTAGCTCGACATCTAAGAAAGTTTATACCACTTCATTCAAGGGTAATTAAAAATATATACATTAGATAACTTACAAAACGAAACAAAAAAGAATTAAAGAAAAAAATTGTAATTTACGTAATATAATCACATTTAATTCTTTTCTCTTGCAATCAGTGGACGAAGTCAGCATGGAGAATAAGTGGCAAAAAATTTCATGTCAATGTCAGCCCATCTGAAAAAGCAAAATGTGGTGTCCAGTCAAATGGAAACGTAAGTGATCAGCTGATAAAAAGATAAATATATAGGAATGGCTCCATAAATAAACAATGTTATTAGTTAAGAATTTATTTATGGCTCAATTCTAAAATACCGGGAGGAGGGCTATGAAGAAAAAAAAAATTATTTAATTAAATATATTCTCTTATATTGAATCAACTGAATAAATTAATTCGATTATTAATTCACAGGATTACCCAGTAATAGATCACTGTTATGACGTAGCGATATTAGGAGCAGGTGGTGCAGGTCTAAGAGCAGCATTTGGTTTAGGGAGTAAAGGATACCGTGTCGCGGTAATAACTAAACTCTTTCCAACGAGATCGCATACAGTAGCTGCTCAAGGTGGTATAAATGCCGCGATAGCGAGCGAACACGAGGACAGCTGGCTTTATCATATGTACGACACTGTCAAAGGATCCGATTGGCTAGGAGATCAGGATGCTATACACTTTCTTACCAGAGAAGCACCTCGTGCAATTTATGAGCTAGAAAATTATGGTTTTTTTTAAAACAACTTTTCCCATTTTTTCTCTTTTATCAAACACATTGCAGACATTTCCTTCATTTATCATGTATACTTAATTATATCAAAATACGTATATTTATATTATTTAATTAATTCATTGCAAATATAATATATTATTGTTATACTAATTAAAAGTAATATTTTTAGTTAATACATAATAAAAGGTCTGCAATCTGTTGAGTATATCATAAATTAATATAACAAAACTATTCTCCTACATTTCTTTAGGATGTCCATTCAGTCGTAACGAGTCTGGCAAAATTTATCAACGTGCATTCGGTGGGCAATCGTTAAAATTTGGAAAAGGTGGTCAAGCACATCGAACTTGTGCTGTAGCAGATAGAACTGGACACGCTGTTCTCCATACTTTATACGGACAAAGCCTTCGATATGACGTTCATTATTATGTTGAATACTTTGCACTTGATCTTTTAATGCACGGTCGGTGTTGCAAAGGAATTCTTGCTTGGGAACTGGAAACTGGTATACTTCATCGTTTTAGAGCTCATCACACGGTACTTGTCTCATTCATTGGGCTCATCTTCTTCTTCTTCTTCTTTTTTTTTTTTTCCTTTTCTTTATACCAATGAATATTATTAATACTAATTTACATTTTCCATACCTAAGGTTATAGCTTCAGGTGGTGCTGGTAGATGTTATTTATCGTGCACAGGTGCACATTCTTGCACTGGTGATGGCATGGCTATGATCTCTAGAGCAGGATTGCCATTACAGGATATGGAATTTATACAGTTTCATCCTACAGGTATATATTATTGCTAAAAGTTATAATAATCATCTCAAAATAAATCATACATTAAATAATTTCGATGTTTTTTTTTTTTGTACCATAGGAATGTATGGAACTGGCATATTAATAACGGAAGGTAGTAGAGGCGAAGGTGGTAAATTAGTAAACTCTCAAGGTGAATTTTTCATGGAAAGATACGCCCCAATAGCTAAGGATTTAGCATCACGTGACGTCGTTTCCAGAGCTATTACCATAGAAATAATCGAAGGAAGGTGATTCTCATCTATTTCCACATGAAACGCAAATTTTCTTTCTTTCTTCATTTATGCTTTTCTTTGTATATAGAGGTGTAGGTCCAAAGAAAGATCATGTGCATCTTCAACTAAATCATTTACCGATTGAAACGATACAAAGCAAGTTACCAGGTATCTCACATTTGGCGTGGGTATTTTCTGGCGTTGACGTTACGAAAGATTCCATACCGGTCATACCAACGGTCCATTACAATATGGGTGGCATACCTACGAATTGGCGAGCTCAAGTTAGAATTTGTTTAAACGATTTAATGAACTTTAGATAAACTTGAAAACGTATAAATGAATATCTATGACGCGGATGACTTATATAAAACAGGTATTAACGCGTGAAAATGAAGAAGATAGTGTGATAGATGGATTATGGGCAGCTGGTGAAACTGCATGTGCATCTGTTCATGGTGCCAATAGACTTGGAGCTAACAGTTTATTAGAAATCATCGTTTTTGGTAAAGCAATTGCCGATCAAATTGATTGCCTTACTCGACCTGGTGAACGGCACGATGATATTCCTGCTGTAAATTTTATATAAAATTAAGAAATCCATTTTATTTCTGATAAATTTAATTACATATGACTTACGTCAATTGAATCAAGGATATAGGTGAACAATCAATTTGTCGATTCGATGCGACTCGTTATGCAAAAGGTTGCATCCCTGTTGTCGAGCTTAGACAATCGATGCAACAAACTATGCATAAATATTGTTCGGTATTTAGAACCTGCGATATTTTGCAAAGAGGATGCCGACAAATGACGAAGCTCTTCACCTGCGATTTACCGAATATATGTGTGAGTTCCAATATTTCAATAACTATTCCACCATTTCAATAACTACAAAACAAAGAAAATGTAAAGTCGTAAAATGAGTATATATTAATGTAGGTGCAAGATCAATCGATGATTTGGAATACAGAACTCGTAGAAGCATTGGAATTACAAAATATGATGCTTATTAATATGCACACCGTGTATGCGGCTGAAAATCGTAAAGAATCTAGGGGGTCCCATTCCAGAGATGATTTTAAAGTAAAATTCCTGCGTTATTTGTTTCTCTTTTTAGGGAAAATTAACCAAACTTTTATCAATATGAATACATTTTTGCTTTATTTCTAACTATTCAAATGTTTATCAATTATCAATTATAGGAAAGAATCGATGAATATGATTATACTAAACCTCTGGAAAATCAAAAAATGCGCCCATATTCGGAACATTGGCGTAAGCATACGTTATCTTGGGCTTTCAATGATGGATCGGTAAATTATTTATAGTTTATGTATATATATATATATATAATAATTTTTTATATATATTATATCGAATAATCCTATCTTTGTTTTTAATCTCAATATAGATATAGTTACAGAGTTTGATTATTTACAGATAAGTATCTCTTATCGGCCAGTAATCGATACGACTTTAGATGAAACGGAAGCTAAGCATGTGCCGCCTACCATTCGATCATATTAAACAACAACAACTAATGAACTTCTTATTTCATTGACTGATTTTATACTAGACGATACATATTTGATTTATTACTATTTATATCTAAGGGACTATGATAAGAATATACATCAATTTTTGTGCCATTCATTTATATCCTTTTAATGTCATTAATTTAAAAATGAAACTTTTTTTCTTAATGAAAAGAAACTAGATTCGAAAAGAAGTCGTTAGAATGTCGATTAGATAATAGAAAATAATTTACCTTAAAACTATGACGATAAAATCATGAATTCTTTAATGGTCAAACGATTTTTTTTTTCAATTCATAGAAAGATAAAAAATTCATATATATTACTTAACTACCAAATCATTCAACATCTCAATATTTGTCTAGAAAATATAAATTAATAAAATTAAAATACAAATAACATCGATGAATAACACTTATACTATTCTTAAAATGATTAATAACATAATTCCTTTTATATTGATATTCAAAGAACGAAAGGACACTAGAAAACATTTCGATAATATCGCAAAAGAAAAGAATGAGAACCACTAATAAAGTGTGCTGCGCGCGCGTGCAAGGGGAGCATGTATTTTGAATTTGGCGCCACTTTAATATTTGGCAGAATTGAAAATTGTGCGATGAAGGGGAGTTGAAAAATTCTTTTCGAGAAGGCATGAAAATTTCAATTTTTAATAACGAAGATAATATTGATTATTATTCATCGTCACATCTCTTTGAAATATTTCTCGCAAATTAACCTTAAAATTGTGTGAAATAAAATAAAAAATGTTCGAAAAAGAAAATTATTCGAACGAAAGAAGGGACTAAAGAGGTTATGTTTTTGTAAATGGTAACGTTATTGGTTAGAGGAAATGGGCACCGCTGTTGGTGTTGTGTCGGTCTTGCGGTAGTGCTCGGCAATCAACCGACTGAAACGCATCATGGTTTCGTCGTGATTTCGCGCACCTCGTGAATAACTCGTTCAATTTTTCTTCCTCACTTTGTTTCAATCGAAAGTAACTCTATGGGCGTTTAAGAAAGAGAAGACAAAAGAAATATAGACGAACGAGGTGAAATAAGGAAGGAAAAACACCGACTACCATACTACTCCTACGACTACGACGACGACGACGTTATTGAAAACGACATTGATCGAAGGAAAAGAAGAAGAAAAACACATTATTCTTTAGTGAACATATATACAGTTTTAAATTATATAAATCAACTAAAATGAGTACGATTTTAAAGGCTTTCGGTTTTATTTCAAGAAATTCACCAACAGTTACACTAACGACTACGAAAGTAATGGTAAATTTGGTGAGAAATTAATTTTTTCTATTTGATAAACGTTATGTAATTTTTTTATTTTCAATAGCGTAATTCTTCTTCGTGTGGTGCAACACACACATACCAACGAAGTAACCGCCGCTGCCGGGGCGTATTGATATTACGTAAGATTTCGAGAGAGAGGGACACGAAATCAAAGTCATAGGGGATACTCCTTGTGATATATATAATATATATCGTGTGCCTTATGACGCGCCATTCGAAAATCAATTTTCCATTTTTAAACAAAATACTAATACTTTTCGTAAGAACGAACAAAATAAAAAAGAGCATCTAACTTTCTTCAATTTTAACTTCATTCCATATATATATATATATATATATATATATATACACACACACACACACACACGCACGCATAACTTGTTTGAATTAAGCCGTAAATGCATCTTAAATACAAAATAATATTATATTCTTTACAAATTTTTCATAAAATATAATCAATTTATTTTAATACATATCAACATTTGCTATCGTTTTTTATTCGTTACTCTATCGAATAATATAAGATATACATGTGTGTGTGTGTGTGTGTGTTACGTAAATAAAACTAATTGCAATTATGATAGGATTCTAATTTAAAAATTAGAGACTAATTAATTAGAGATATTAATCAATAATCATAATATTTTAATTCCACCAATTTTAAATAATAAAATATGAAATACTTTTATAGATCTAAATGTTAATGATTAGAGAAAGAATTTAATCACATTGATACAGTTAGGAATAGATAAAGAAAAGTAGTCTTACGATCGTACGTATATATCTTCTTTTATGATTTTTGTATTATCCATATGGCAAGATACATTTTCTAGCAATAAATTAGTGTGTTGTATAACAAACCTCATTTGCTATATATATATATATATATAATGTTCTAATATACAATTAATCTCTTAATTATGTGACGAATCATTTCAATTATTTAGGAAACTCCTTTTTTTATATTTTAATTAAAGTTTTCCTCAAGGTACATAGATAATAAATATATTAAGTTTTTTTTATATACGCGTGGTAGGAACAATGTTTATATTCTTATGAAGTATAAGAAGTGTTCTGAAAAAGAAAAAGTATCAATATTATATCTTGTTATGTAAAATATTTCAGACAAATTGAACGGATTAAAGTGACAATTTTCATTTCTGTTTTTCTTCCCAAAAATTAAATGTTTATAATATCCTTATGTGTTACAGAATAAATTGGGTTTACCTGTTATCGATGCACATCAATTTCATCACACATCTAATAGAACAGCTGCCAAAGTATCCGATACAGTATCTAAACAATATCCTCTGGTAGATCATAAATACGATGCTGTCGTCGTTGGTGCAGGTGGTGCAGGATTGCGTGCAGCTTATGGACTTGTCGCTGAAGGTTTTAAAACTGCAGTGGTTACAAAATTATTTCCAACTAGATCACATACCGTAGCTGCTCAAGGTGGTATCAACGCTGCTTTGGGTAATATGGAAGAAGACAATTGGCAGTGGCACATGTATGACACCGTTAAAGGATCTGATTGGCTTGGAGATCAGGATGCGATACATTATATGACACGCGAAGCTCCTAAAGCAGTCATTGAATTAGAAAATTGTGGTATGCCATTCAGTCGGACTTCTGACGGTAAGTTATTACCAGATTATTCGAGTATACATTTACAAAAGTATCTTAGAATTATTCTTTATTTCTTTTTTGTTCTCTTTTATAAATTAAAAGTATTTATAATATTTAAAATTATATGTATAAAATGAATATATATTTTTAATACAGTCTTTTTATTTTATTTATTTTTTTGTTTTTTCTTTTTTCAGGAAAAATATATCAACGCGCTTTTGGAGGTCAATCGTTAAAGTTTGGAAAAGGCGGCCAAGCGCACAGATGTTGTTGCGTTGCAGATAGAACAGGCCATTCCCTGCTACATACACTCTATGGACAATCTTTGAGTTACGATTGTAATTACTTCGTCGAATATTTTGCATTGGATTTACTTATGGAAGACGGAGAATGCAGAGGGGTTATTGCACTTAATCTAGAGGACGGTACACTGCATCGTTTCCATGCTAAAAATACAGTACTAGCAACGGGGGGTTATGGACGTGCTTATTTTTCCTGTACATCCGCGCACACATGTACAGGAGATGGTACAGCAATGGTATCAAGAGCTAACCTACCTAATCAAGATTTGGAATTTGTACAGTTCCATCCGACCGGTATAGATTTGAGAATATTGTCTAGTTGTACTACATCAATTATTCATATAGACATTTTATCTTTGAATGAAATCACTTTTATCACTTTTACGTTTCAGGAATCTATGGTGCTGGTTGTCTGATAACGGAAGGTAGTCGCGGAGAAGGTGGTTATTTGATAAACAGCCAAGGTGAAAGATTTATGGAACGTTATGCACCGGTTGCTAAAGATCTAGCTTCGAGAGACGTAGTCTCTAGGTCAATGACCATAGAGATACGTGAAGGAAGGTAAACAAGTTAACAATATTGACAAGATCAATTTCAATGATGATTAGTCTATGAAAATTATTCATTAATATTTTCTTTCATGTAGAGGTGTCGGACCGGAAAAAGATCACATTTATTTGCAATTACATCATTTGCCACCTGAACAATTGGCAGCTAGATTGCCTGGTATTTCAGAGACTGCAATGATATTCGCTGGAGTGGATGTAACACGAGAACCTATACCTGTTATACCAACTGTGCATTATAATATGGGTATAAAAATGATATTTCAAATTATTATTTTTATCAAAAATGAATAGGCCAAATTTTGAATTGTATAATATGAAGAAATACTTTGCAGGTGGTGTACCAACAAATTATAAAGGTCAAGTATTAACTAGAAAAAATGATGAGGACCAAGTAGTACCCGGATTATACGCATGTGGTGAAGCAGCCTCTGCTTCGGTTCACGGGGCTAATCGACTTGGTGCAAATTCATTACTTGATCTCGTTGTGTTTGGTCGAGCTTGTGCAAAGACAATTGCGCAAGAAAATAAACCTGGCGAAACTGTAGGACCATTGAGATCCGTAAGTATTTTTTCCCAATGAACATAATCTTTTTTTCTTTTTCCTTTCTTTTTAATATGTAAATATATTCATTTTTAATTCATCAAAATATCATTTGTAGAATGCCGGCGAAGAGACAGTTGCTAATTTAGATTGGCTTAGAAACGCTAATGGTAATGTTCCCACGGCAGACTTAAGACTGAGCATGCAGAAAACTATGCAAACACACGCCGCAGTATTTAGAGATGCACAAACTTTGCAAGAAGGATGTCGAAAGATGTCGGAACTTTATAAAAGGATGGGCGATTTGAAACTATCCGATAGATCGCTAATATGGAATTCTGATTTGGTAGAAACACTGGAGTTACAGAACTTGATGATCAATGCTATGCAAACAATAGTGGCCGCAGAGAATAGAAAAGAAAGTCGAGGAGCTCATGCTCGTGAAGATTTCAAAAATAGAATCGATGAATATGATTATAGTAAACCTTTAGATAATCAAAAAGCAAAACCGTTGGATCAACATTGGAGAAAACATACTCTTACAACTATTAATCCTAGAACAGGAGAAGTATCTATTAACTACAGACCGGTGATAGATAACACGCTTAACAAACAGGAATGCGCTACAGTACCACCAGCAATTCGTTCCTATTAGATCGCTATTATTTTTAATTTAACATCGAAATTCACATCATTTAAGAAAAGTCGAGATATCACATATCGCATATAAAAAGTACATTGTTCATTTTGTCCTTAGTTAAATATCATTGTGTGTTAATTGGGATTAAGAAAACAAATCTTAAATAATTTTCTTCACACTCCCTTTACCTACACACAAAAGAACTAATTAATTTATTACAATATAAAAACTATAATCATAATAATAATAATAATAGAATGCACCAAAGTAAATTCTTGTCAATGTTTACACACTTAGCGGGTGAGATTAGTTATCCTTGTAGGATGTTGGTGCTGATATTTCATTGTTTCAAGATGATAAACTGTTTGATCTCCTACAGAGTCCTGTTTTATGTTTATTTAAAGTAATTATAGAAAGTATGATTTAAAGGGAACGAACAAAAGAAAAAGAAAAAAAAAAAAGAGAGAGAAAAGTAGAAACCTTTTAAGGAACTTGTTCTTCATCGATAAATTAAATATTGTTATTAACAATATTTTCAAGCGAGTTTAATATCATGCGAAGAAGTACCTGCTGTGTATCGTGCTGCAATAAAGTAGCATATATTTATTAAATTAAATATTGCATATAATCCCTCTTGAAAAAATTAACAGCTTTACATATAGAATATAAGTTATTAGGTAAACTTAGAAATTATACAACAACATTTTTTCTCACCGATCACCAATTCATGATGAAGAAAGAATAAAAAGTTCATAATCATCTCAATTAAGTATATAGTGTGAGTGTTGCGTGTGTATATATATGTGTTTGTGTATGTATGTATATGTATATGTACATGTATATATATATATGCCTTAAAATCATGTCAAGCAAATTAAGTTCTGATCTAAATTAATTTGAAATTGTTTTAATAGACTTTTCTAAAGGATTTATAGGAACGTGTACTCCTTAAAAGGTTATATACAAAATGAGTACACAGACTTCTTGCGGCTACATACTTAATACTCATGGATATAATAGTTTAATCGAAAATGTTTGTGTCGACAATCAAATTATTGATGCTTTCGCATAAATCTGTTTTTTTTTTTTTCCAAATTTGTAATAGCATGCAATTTATTGTTATATTTTGAATGAATATGCATGGGTTTGTAGCATATGTTAATGGTGAAGAAACAATAAAACTGTATAAAAAAAGAATTTACAATTATTATAAGGAATAAAGCATTGGTAAGAATTTTCTCATTAACTAATTATGACAAACAACTCCACGTTTCTTTTATATAAACAATTTATCCTTGATTTAAATGAATAATATTGATGGAACATGCAAATACGATTTCTCTAGAAATAAAATTAACAATAGAGAAAGCACACATAATCCGAGAAATATCATTTATTATGCCCATAATTTAAATATTATCGTCATAAATAAGTATTTTAAAGAAGATTAAATAAAAATTACTCTATTGAAGACATTTTCTAAAGTAATTTTAAAAATTAAGATGTTCGGCAAAAAGCCAATACTTTTGATTTTTGTTGTTGTTACTTGAAAATTTCGTAATTTACAATTTAACTTTAATGTTATATTTAATGAATAAAAATGTTTTTCACGTTCGAAAATGCGATACGTACTGGCGGCGAAAGTTTACGATGAAAAGTCGTCGACAAATGTTGTATTGTGCAAGAGAAAATTCATGTCGATATTGAATCATTATGTGCAATATTATCATTATTATTAGTATTATTAAATTTCAATAGAAAGACAAGAAAAATAAATGAAAAACGCAAAAGAATCTTCATATATCACTGCTTTCAACTAATTTACACGGACTTATCGACATCCCTATCGGTAAATCCATTTAGGAACTATTATGTATAAATTAAACAACGAGCGACGTTAAACAAAAAAAAAGGAACAAGAATTTTGTTTGTTTAAAAAACTTTGCTCGTTGTCTATTCGCGATGTGATTAATAAATTGAACTATTATTCATAATCTACACGTACGCGGTCCAATGAATGATTTCATTAACATTTTTTTATTATTTATAATCTTTCGAATTCATCTAAGACCAAATATAATTTGGTCTAATTGTCACGTGATATTTAATGAAAGTGTGCTTTAAGTAAAAAATGTTTTTAAACGTTTCTTTAATTCGTATATATAATTAGTATACGAGTTATGCAATAAATTAATTTATTTTAATTTTTAACTTGGTGCACACTTTCATAATCAACGGCTTATATCTAAAACAGAAAAAAAAATTATCCTTAAATTTAATATTTTTTAGTTAACGTGTAAAAAAAGAAGCGACATCGATTGATAAAATTTGTTACAATATTTTCTTTGCAAATCAGTTAATGCATTTGTTGCTTGCTATTATTCTTTTTTCCCTTAAAGTTTCTCTTATAGTCTTTAACAAGAATCCGTGTAGTCTACTTAATAATTCCATGATCCATTAATTCCATCGAATAATATAAATCGAAGATGATATAGTAGTAAATGCAAAATAAAGGACTTTCGATTTCGAAATCTTAATTAAAAGATTTAAAATAATTATGATTAGAGTTAGATTATTAGCGAAGATCATATATTACACACGAACGCGAGAACACGCATTTTTATTCAATTCATTTTATATGCGTTCTATAAATCACAAATTATTATTTCTTGTTTTTTTTATTTTTTTTTTTTTTTTTTTTTTTTTTATTTATTTTTTTTTTATTTATTTAATTGTATGCCCAAAGTCTTATATTTTCTTTGCCGTCTTAATTACAAACTCGAATAAAGTTTAATGAATATATAGAAAAAGAAAGAGAAAAAAAGGAAAAAAAAGAAAAAAAAAAAAAGAAATTTAATTATTTCAACCTTTCAAACTGTATACGCATGCACACACACATTCTTTTTTTACTTATTTTTGCTTTTTTCTGTTTTTAATTGTTTAATTAAATTTTAAAATCGAGATGTTTATTAGCTCAATATTTGTGTCGAGAAAAATATCTTTTCCTCTCGCTCTTTTTGAAATTTATCTCTTCAGTGATATAATATATATACATATATATGTATATATATATATATACACACACACACACACACATATATTTCTTCTCTATCTATGATATATGCAAGTCCAATTATATTTTGGTTAGTAAAACGTCGGCTTTTTTTTTAACTTAATGGAGATAATTTGTTCTTAGTCGATTTCTAATATGACATTCGAGAGATTTTGTGATTTTTGAAAACTATTTTTCTAATTCTATCCAAGTAGTACGATCAGCAAGGATTCTCAAGTACAGTAGATTGAAAACGATTCTTCTTCTGCTTTAACAACAATACTTTTTTCTTCTTTTGATTTTGTTTAGAAATGTGTATCTGTAAATTTTTGAATCATTTTTTTTTGTTCAAGTTTGTACGAATATTCTGTCTCTTTTTTTTTCTCTCTCCCTTTCTCAATATATCTAAAAAATAATCCACATTCACACATCTCATGTCGTACCGATGATGATGATGATCATTGGATGATGAGAAACACTAAACGGGATTTAGTGAAATGGATTATTAAGTCTTGTGCAATGGTTGTTGCGTTGTTGCCCGACTCGACGATGACATTGCTCGAAAATATCGACAATGTAACGATAATGACGATGACGATTATGATAGCGATGATAATGTTGACGATAAATTCACGAGGTTGCCCTTAGCTTTTCCAAAGCTGGTACCAAAGATTCTTCGAGAGAAGGTCCACAACTGAGAGCACATTCACCGATCCATCTTGCTTTACCACTTGCATGAGACTAAAAATATAAGATCATTTGCTGTTCTTTATGTTTACACAAGGAGTAATTACAAATGATAATATTGGAAAAAAAGAAACAAAAAGAAACAAAAAAGAAACAAAAAAAAAAAAAAAAAGAATTCTTTACCATGGTGAGATCACGTTTCCATGCCGTGTGACAACGTCCATCACAAAGTGGACAAGGTCGTTGAAGAGAATAACCACCACATTCACTACAATCAAGAGAGACATGTTCTTCGCTCCAAGAGACCCCACACCTAATAAATACAATGAATACTGATGTTAGTCGAAATAAATAAAGATAATGAAGAAAAGAAAATATGATGATAACAAAAAAAAATATGGTGCCACTGTATTTTGACAGAAGGGACTATATGAGGTGTTTACATTCAACACACACACACTCATTGCGAAATGTAATCTGATAAAAAAGAAGCGTTTCACAAATCAATAATAACAGCGGCATTATGTAGTTTATTCTGAATATATTAAAATTATATTTTTCAAAATGTGATTAATACAAACGATTTCCTAAAAGCATTTTCTACTTTTTTATTTTATTAAAAACGAGATTTACTTTTCCCTCCTTTCTTCTTCCTCAAAGTCATCAATAATCACAAGTACTCACGTAAAGCATGAGTTCAATTGAGCACGTAACTCTTCGATGGTTAGAATCGTATCTTGATATTGAGGATGAGAACCTTGAAGACCATCGTCTACACTATCGCATAAACTGTGACAAGAGAGGGACACATTACTCCTGTTGAAAGAAAACAAAATTCATTTTTTTCTTTTCTTCTTCAAAGTTCAAATAACATTCATAATCATAATAACATACGTTTGGATATTATAGAATAGTAATTAATTAGTAACAATTTACCCATGACGTGAAAGACTTTCAGAAGCAGGTTGGACCGAAGTGACAGACATGTTGTTTTGATACGTTGCGACTGTAACCAAAAAATAATAAATAAACCATCCAGATAAATGTTCTTTTCTTTCGACTTGGCAGGAAGTATGAGGTCATAAGATTTAATTAAAAATAAACTTGCAACTGTATGTAGACGACCTGATTTTCTCAATGCACACACACACACACACACACAGAAATGCGCGTCCAATTATAATCATGAATAAAAGTTAGTTTGAAAAAGCCCGCCTTTTAGTTTGCTTCTGATTGGCTAACGTTCTCCTCTGATTTTTCTTTTATCTCTCTCTCTCTCTCTCTCTCCCACTCTTTCAGAAAACACAAAAAAAACTATTGTTTTTATTATTCTTATTATTCTTAACAGGATGATTACGATCGTAAGACGCAATTCGAAAAAATACGTAATAAACTTATGCAACGAATTTATGTTTCAAAGCGAAGAGAAAAAACGAGAGAAGGGAGGGATAGAAACGATGACGAGGGTCAACAACATAAAATACGTAAGCGTTATCGATAAATCAAGGAAATACCACGATGACGTACTTGTGACGTGTGTCAAGATATATTATTTCTTATATAGCTGAAAATAGCAACTATGAGAGAGAGAGAGAGAGAGAAAACAAGCTTAATTCTATGAAGTTACCATCAATGAAATTTCATTCTAAGAAGTATTTTATTTGAAAACAAATTTAATTCCATAACTTTCACCTAATATATTATTGAATAATCATATATTATGAATAAACAATTTTGTTTTTAAAACGAGAAGTATAAAGTATTATATTCGAGAACCACTATCAAAATGAATTTCCATATTTCTTATCTAATATTAGATAATTTATATTACGTTTTGTTCTTAATGTATTCTGAAACAAAATGAATAATAATATACTAAAACGAAATGAAATGGCGAACTTTATCGATAATAAAAAAAAAATTAGAAAAATTCCATCTCGAAAACAAAACAAAGTAATATTATAAAAGGGCTCGTCTTGAATTAGGTCAACGACCTAACGTGGAGGACGTGAGAAAAAAAAATACGATCAATAAAGAAGAATGGCAGGCATGATTTCGCATATAAGAGAGGCTATTTCAAAATACACGTGTTTGTAGCATGTTTATATAAGTTTATGTAAGAACGTAATTAAGTCGTTCGAAGAATCACGTAATATTTACTCGATCGAAACGAACTTCACGAATTTTGTTAAATGTAATAATTAGAAAATTGTCACAAGATAACAATAAAACTCCTACATTTTTTCTTATCTTCGTGTTGCCATTCATCAAAAGTGATAGGGATTGGCTGTGGTGGTGCCTGGTACGGTTAAGAACTGGTCAATTGTTATTTCCTTTTTTTTTTATCGTGTATATCACGTGATTTTCGAACGACGTCGAAGAATTCATATCATTTGGGAGAAATTTACGTTAACGTTTCCATAGAATTTACCTTTGAAACTGAGACATTCGATTAATTAAACACGCACACACAGACATACGAAATATAAGTATAAAAAATTAATTGCAAATGAATATATTATAAATCGTTAAAAGAGTAATATAATAAAGTTATGATAACGATGGTGTGTCACCTTTAAATGCGGTCAATGTATAACGGTCGATGTTCACAAACAGCTCGATAAAGTACGAGAGAAAGAGAGAGAGAAAGAAAGAGAAAGAGAGAAAGCTTTAACGTTAAATCCGGAGAACGGAAGGACCAAGCTGAAGTTGGTTGTGATACATGTAAGTTTAAAGTATTGATCGAATCGATGATAGAAATGCGTCGTAAACGATAGTTATACGACTGAAAATGAAAACATTATATTTCAACAAAATCAAATCAAATCTATTGTCACTGATGTGTTATTTTTCCATGGAAACAAAGTCGACGTTGTGTAATGAGAAAGAGAGAGAGAGAGAGAGAGAGAGAGAGAGAGAGAGAGAAAAGAAAAAGTAAAGAGGGACGAAGGCTAGCAAGGTGAAAGCGAGCGAAAATGGCGTCCTTCGAGAGTGGTATCGTTCTCATGACGATACAACGATGACTTCAACATGAAATGTTCTTACGAATCCAACTTTCTAATCTCTTTCTTATGTATACACAGATCTATGTTAATAAATATTTTATTACATACATACGTTAATAATAAAACAATTCATCTTAATTTTTTTTCCAAACGAAAATAATCTCTAATATCATATGTGCGTGCGTGTGTGTGTGTGTGTGTATGTATGTGTAGAGAGGGGGTGTATAAACTTACATATTAGAAGTAATCCTTAGAAAAACTGAAGAAGGGAATAACGAGAATGGAAAACTTAATTCCAATATAAATATTCCCAAGAAGGAAGCAAGGCTGCAACTGCGTCCGAGTTCGGGTAATTTTAAGAGACGTATACACGCAAAGAAATTTATGGTTGAAATTTTCTTCGAAATTCAGATTGAACGAACGTAACAATAGAAAGAGAAGAGAGCCATATACGCACTCGTAAACGTTCGTGAGTTGACTAAGAGTCTGACGATTGCGCGGGGTACTTTTATAACCTGCGGTGTGTACATGAGTGAACGTAGGAAGAGAGTGGAAAGCGTAGGTAGAGTGAGAGAGCCTAGTGAACGAGGTAGGCGGTGGAGTGAGATAGTCAAACGGAAAGAAGGCTGCCGCCCAAGTGGGCCGACGAGTGCCACAGAGAGGGATGGGGAGTGGAGGGAGCTGCCCCCCCCCCCCGCGCCACCATCCTCGTCGTCAGTACCGTCACTTTGCTCCGACACGCCCCTCACTCGTACATTTTTTTTTATTTTTTAGACTCGTGCACTTAACGTGTAGTACGTTGACGAAGAGAAACACATTGTTTCGATTGCATTTACTTTACAAAATACATTTCATCGCCCTTGTGTTTCTTACTCGAATATATACCACCACTACCACTACCACCACCACCACCACCACCACCATCAGAACCAACATCATCATTATCATCATCATTATCACAGCAGCAGAATAAACTGGATCTGTTGAGAAATTAATTGCATTATAACGAAACGTAAAAAAGAACGAAGAGAATTTAAACTCGTAATAGTTGTTTTATATCGTTCGACGTATTGCCTGCTGTGTCGATTGGTCAAAGGTTTCATCTTCTTAGCATATACCGATGACATATATGCATTAATAATGTGAAATTATACCATTCTCATGATTGCTTAAACATTTTTCTTTTCATTGATTTTTAATCGCCTTCACATTTTAATGCGATATGCGTACTTATCCAACGTATTAATGATCATCTCTCGTTGTGCCAAAATTTTAATAAAAATTGTTAGCTATATTATGATAAAATGATTTTCTCTTTTTTTCCTATGAAATTTTGTTTTCTTTCAATGTAAATTTAGCATAGTTATTGAACGATACTATATTAAACATGATCGGTAAAAAAGATCTTAACTGAAAACACGAGAAGGAGAAATCTCATATTTACGATCAGCACAAACGTGCTATGTATTCTTATGAAAATGAAACCGAAAAGAAATCATCTTTTTCGGTTAGAGAGATCTTGTTTCTTTTTTCTAAGAAACGACGTTATACGTACACATATAGGCATATCTAAAAATATCTAAAAAAAATATATAAAAGATTTTTTTGTCAAGATATTTTCTCTTGATCGAGGATTTCTATTCATTGAGGAACTTGTATGACATTTTCTTGCTAGAAACGGCGTAGTCACGAGTTGTGAATCGAATGCTTAAAGATCGTAGGTGGTTTTGCTATGCTGACGAATGCCGTTTATTACAGCTAACATTCATGTAGTTTTCAATGAGACGACTAAACGTAAAAAGCTCACGTCCTTTTGATTCGAAGAAATTCAAATCATCCATTACGATTTATTATTTAATATAGATCGTATTAGATCATTTTGTCGATGATTTGATTTTATACATCAAATTTTATAATCAAAATTAACATTGTAATAGTTTTTTTTTTTTTTTTTTTTAATAAAAATGAGAGTTTAATATAAACGATTTTCTTTGCACAAGTATGTGCATCTTTTAACACTAAGTGTCATATATATATATATTCAATCATGCATAGACGATACTGCTGCACTCGTGATCACCTGCGTCAAGATAAGACAAATACTCGTATTTACGTGAAAAAGATGTTTAATCACGTGAGAATATCATCTTATCTTTTCTTTTCTTCCCTTTACTTTCGTAAAAGAGATTGCTCATTAGTTAAATCCCAAGCTCAATCGGTAATATGTCGTTTCCCTTCAATTATTTCTAATCGCATTAAAGATTATTATCGTTCATAAAAGAAATCGAACATAAAAAAATAACAAAAGAGAGACGATCAATGATTGTCTTTGAAAAATGTATCGCTCGTAAATTTATGATATGATTTTTATCTAACTGGACTAACGTCCAGCAATTACGAAGATATTCTCTACTCTCTTGACGCGGTCTTTTTAAATGAAACCAGTTCAATCTAGTCTCCTTTAAAAGAAAACGAATCGAGCTTGTAATATTAATCGAGTGGAGAAAGACGCGATCTTTGGAGGAATCGAAATGATAAAATCTTTTGAGTAACAGGATTCCCCTTCTCTTAGTGTAATTATTTTCTTTTGAGGTTATGTACGTACTTCCTGTACTTAACCTACGCAAAATACACCTACATTTTTATCCAAGTACAGATTAACGGATACATTTGCATCTAAAATTCCACACTTATGTAACTTATATGTATATAAACGTTTACACGTTTAATTTCAAATTGATATACATGAATATGTATGTATGCGTACAAGTGTATAGATATATAGGCAAAGATACGAGTTATACCTGTTAAAATATTCGATCTTGGTAAAGTACGTCTTTCTTCATATTCGAATAATGATAAAAAGAAACTCGAACTTTATAATCTAATATCTATCGAATCGTCAGTTGCAGTATTTAAACTGCAACAATTTCCACTCTGGGTTAAAGAGAATTCGAAGAAGGGATGATGTTTTTTGTGAGAACTCATCCCCCTTCCTTCCTTCCTTCCATCCTTTCCACTCCCTCCCAAACTCCTTCTCTCCTCACCACTCCTTTTTCAGCGAACTCCTCGCCAAGCAACATTCCAAGGCTCGGGCAAGAACCTTACCATCGGCTTTTCTCGAAGGCCCTTTTCTTTTCTCTCTCTCTCTCTCTCTCTCTCTCTCTCTCTTCCTTTCTTATTCACTCTTAACTTAGAAATGGAACTTTCCCTTTCTAAAAAAAATTCTTTCTATGTATGATTCATATGGAAAAGAATTTGGTATCATATGGAAAAGAATTTGGTATGGTCTAAGAAGTTAAAGTATAAAGGCAAAATATATCTTTCAATTAATAAATGACTGTTCTTTTCTTAATAAATTTTCCTTGAAATTTAATAACTTTAATATAAATATACTAATAAATTAAAATACAAATATTTGGATTTATTATTTTCTTTTGTATAATTTTTTGGATATTTCATAATTTAGTAAGAAAACATCAATGAGTTTAAAATACAAAAGGAAAAATGTTTACCTTGATTATTTTCTTAACAAATTTTCCTGTAATTTGCTTGAACATGGATAATCAATATATGTATCATACATATGTATGATTTGATAAAATTCCATTTAGTTTTAAGTAATCTGCATAGATTAGTTTAACGATCACGTGATAGATTCTGTTTATCAATCGACGTTTTTCCTCGTTCAATTCTTGGAAATACACTTTTAGAAATCCCAAATTTAATAAAAAAAAGAAATAAGAAAAAAAGAAAAAAAATTCAAAAAGCATTTTTATTTGTGCGATTAAATGGAGAATCATTAGGAACATCCTTCGAGCAAAGTCATGGATCGTTGTTACGTCAGAATATTTCTGTCGCGTAGTTAGCAAAGTCGTCGTACGATCAGCCAAGCGCCAACAAGCCAAGACCTTGAAACCTTTTTCCTCTTCTCGTAGCCGAGCAACTTGATTAAAGTTTATTGGACTAATGAATACCGATAAGAGACTCGGTTGATATACGAAGACGAATAAAACTGTATGTGTATGTGTAAGATAGATATACACAGAGAGACAGAGACAGAGAAAGAAAGAAAAAGAAACAGACAACAGACAAGGATAGAGACATACTATTACCACGTGACTCGCTAGTGTCATTGGACTGCTCTCATTTGTTTACAAATAATATTAAGCGACGCACATCAATATTAATCCACGAATGACGAATTAATTATTGAAAAAATTCTAAGGAATAAAAGAATTTATCAATTCTGTCAAAATTTACCAATTAGATGATCACTCGGAAATAGTATGGATTCAATTCTCGTGAGATACATTCTAACCTATAATTATTCCCCTTTAGAGGCCGAAGCTTGACCTTTAAAAAAATTCCTCCTATTACTCATGACACGAGAAGAACTTTCCTCTCTCGCCCGATTGAAAATTTATTAGTAATTCTATCAAAGTCCAACGACGATCCTTAACATTGAATGCTTCTTTTTTCTTCTCGCCTACTTTAACTAACTTCCGTAAAAGGTAATTCGAAAGGAGAGAAAATCGATAGGTTAAGGTTCATACTTAATGACTTTTCTAATAACTTGGGTTTCCCTAACGAGATTATAGAACGTATTTAATATTTTTTGTTTTAATCGAAATTACAATAATTTCAAATAAATTTTATTACTATTATTATATTATTATTACTACTACTGTATTTTAGTAATTTAATAAAAATTTACCTTTAAAAATTTACTTTTTTTATCGTAATTAATAGTAAAAATAATTGAACAAAATGATTCAACTAAAACAAAGGAATCTTACAATTAGATTCGAGAAAATTCGACAATCAAATATTGCATGATTCGTGCGCGCGCTGTGTGCGTGTGCGTGTGTGTGAAGCGTATGTGCGTGCCATTAAAGAGAAATCGATCGTATTTGAAGAAATCAAAGAGCTCGCACGTGTCCATCGTGTGATCACATGTTTCAAAGCTCGTAACGTTCCATTCAGGTTGTGACCCTTGATGACGAGAAGGTTAGGCTATCGTTCACTTCCTTCGTTTAAGGAAATTGCCTATCCCCTTTTGCGCGTGTGTCTGGAATATTGTAACATGGTAGAGACACGAACGACCAGACACGAGAAAACCAAAATAGAACTTGGATTTCCTTGAATGACCGCTAGACGAGTTGTCTCGAATTTAAAATTAAAATTAAAAATAAAAAGAAAAAGAAAACAAAAGACAAAGTCCTCTCTCTCTCTCTCTCTCTCAATCTCTATCCATTTATCTTTCTATCCATCTCGCTCCCTCCCACTTTTCCTCTCTCATTCCCTATCGATAATGTAGTTATCATATGTGAACTGAACATGTTACTTTGAAGTAGTCGATGACAAGATAAAAGATTGATATATAATCGCCAAATACAATAGAGACCTGTTTATCCTCAAAAAAACAAAAGCAGGGTCTTGTTTTATCGAGATGATTGTACACTACTTTCTCTGTTTAATAAGGAAAAAGAACAAACAAAAATTATTATCTCGAAATCTATCATAACACATAAGTGACATAAACCGTCGAAGAAGTTAGAAGGTTGTAAATTAAGTAACATACGTGGGGGTCTTCGATAAACTTTCCGACCTATATCAGCGGAAAATTACGTTTACTCTCTTTCGCTTTCTTATCTTTCCACAATGATGACATCAAAGCTGACGAAAAATATTCTTATCTTAAAGAATACTTTTTCTTTTATTCTAATAAATAACTAAAATATTTATTGATACAAATAGTTCGAATATACTATTATCTATCAAAATATTTTTAATAATATATTAATAGAAATTGCAGAGGCTTAACAATTTTTTACTGGTCGACCGAACTGTTCATGTATTGCCATCTAGCGTCGACCGTTCAAACTATGCTGCCAATAAAAAAAATATTCAACTCACTATATTCGTCCAAATTCTAAGAGATTTAAAGAAAATAGAAACAAGTTATGAATATATACATTAGTTCTATTCATCTCCATCCATCCATTCATCCATCTATTGTTATTACATCCCATAGTGGGCTTCAGCCTTCTTCAGGAGTTTGCACCAATCATTCAATCCAGCTTTTCTTCTTGAAGTTTTCAGTGGGTTTAACAAGTGGGTTTTTGCGAGATTGGGTTGTCAGTCCAACACTCAACCCCTATTAGTCGCTTTTTACGACAAGCAGGGGATACTGTGGATATATTCTATCCCCGATCCACAGGGGAAGTTATCTTTCTATAAAAAAAAAAAAAAAAAAAAAAAAAAAATCGATCGGTAAAATAGAATCTCTCATTGTCATAAAAAAAAAAAAAGAAAAAGAAAGAAATTATGTATTATGTTAGTAAGAATTGTAACAACATAACCGATAAGGATAAATCATGCTCGGCAAGTTAAAATTCCAAGGAAATTTTTAGAAAGTTTCAACACAGCTTCGCAATAATATTCACGACGGAACATATGGAATATATTATACTCACGTTTGTCGACTCCGAAGGTAATGTCGGTAAAATGCATGCTACGAAGGACGGCCTGTGTAACTACGATACGCGTAACCTTAGGAGCAAAGTCCGGGTCGTCGGCATCGAAGGATACGTTCTCTTCGAATTCAGTCATTGTTCCTTCCATTTTTCTACGATTTTCTTTAATGTGACGCTGTTTCTCTTTCCTCAAGTTAAGTCCTAATAAAAATCAAAAGAAAAACAAAATCTATATTCCATTATCTTCATTTTCATAAATTTATTAAATTTCATCGAAATAATGAAATTTTTTAGATCTTCATTTCCTTCAATCTTGCCTGCATCATTTTTTTTGGCATAAAGTCATTTCATTTATATGCAGTTATATATATGATGAATAATAATACGAGGTCGTTCTGCTTAACGATACGGAAGTTAGCATTTTATTATTCAAGACCAACAACGGTCATACTTTCGTGGGGATTCTTCCGTATTACTTAAGATATCAATCTATCACATTTTCTCGAATTTCGTTGCAAGATTTACTATAATCGAATAATAAAAAACCTAAAAAAAGAATTATTGACAAGTTCTAACATTTTTTTTTGTATTTTAATGTTTCCATAGAAACGTATGTCAAAAAATATTCATTGTATTATACATTATATATATATATATATATATATATATATACATGTTTATTATGTAAAATTTATATTATTTCATTATATATAATTACGATACTTTCATTTCATCTAAAAAACAGAAAAGAAAATAATTACCTATCATTCGTACGAAGACATTGACTACTTGAAAGAAACACCGTACTTCTCGACAAACTGCGTAGTAATGGTGTTCGGCGCGAATTCTCGAATAGTCGAAGACGATTTCTACGCATGCGCATAACGTCAGTTTTAACGAGCAATCTCTCGATTTTATACAGGATTTTTTTATTTTCTATTGTCGTCGATTATTTTTTAAGATTGCGTTATTATAACGATAACATTTATAATATTTTTCATATATATTTTAAAATAAAATAACTCGTCAATATGTGTAAGTGTTTCTAGGTATTGATATTAATGAGAACTGTTATCTGTAGGATGAAATTCACCATTTTCCACCTTGTCTTGATACGTTCCTGAACAAAGAACTAAGTTGAAAATAATCATAATTATTATCTTGTATTCCATCGATCAGCACCTAGATATACGCCACGAGTTTCTGATAACATTATATAATATATAATTATTAATTTGATTTTGCATTTATCTGCTTAAATTGCATTAAAAGAATGTATTAATACTGAATATATTATAACTGTCATTCAGTTAAGTTTCCTTTACCTTTAGACATATTACTAGGAAGTTGTAACTATAAATTGTCTGTAAAATTAAAAATGGCTTTATTGAATTTCACATTTGATTATGACATAGGAATATACCGAATACAACTTTAAATATTCTATAATACTTCTTTAAACAAAACGTATGGTACAGTTATTCATATATATATATATATATATATATATATGTGTATATATATATATATATACATATACATATATATATATACACATACACATATATATATATATATACACTTTCTAATATCTATAAAAATACAACGCAATTCTATAAAAATACAACACTAATTGTCACTGGTATCAAAATCTAAATATGGGCATTGGAAGAAGATGTATTTGAGAAAGGTGTGTGTAGCGTTTAATTCATACAGCTTACCATAGAGAATGCATAAACTGATATCCCTTGGTTGGAAATTAGTATAAATCACTCATTCAGGCACTCTATTACACTCGACTATATAGTCAGTACGGATGAATAGACAACAAATGAAATGTATGATTTTATCATACAAATAATTTGGCACATTGGTATTTTCAAGTTTCTCTTTCCGCACGAAAATCGTAGCAAAACTGAAATAAATCATTTTAATACAAAATTAATTATCATCGTTGAAGTTCGTATATCTTTTAAACAGAAAAAGAGAAAAAAAAGAATAAATATATATATATATATATATATATATATGTGTGTGCGTGTGTGGTGTGTGTATATATATATACCTCTTTGTCCAAATCTTTTTGCGTCCAAATTTTGATTGTAGGAAATTTATACTAGAAAGGGAAGACACATTTTGATTGATTATGTATAAATGTTGTAAATAAAAATTTCTATTCTTTAATAATAACTTTTCACTTACACTGGCAGAATCAGAATGAATATTAAGACGAGGATTGAGAATGAATGGGACTCCATCTAAATCGGAAGAACCTGGCAGTGTACCATAAATTGGAATGGAACCAATGACCGAAGTAGTAGGAGGTTGAGGTGCAGGTCTCGTAGGCCTCAACCTCGCGCTAGGACTTAACACTTCGTAATCCCTATCATTAGATTCGTCTGTATCCTTTCCAATGGCGGCTGTTCCAATTTGAGAATAAATACCATTATTTGGTTTGGGAGAAAACTTCGGTTTAGGTGGCCTCTCGGGTGGTACTCGATGAGGTGTTCCATTGGAAGGATTTGGAGAAGCATTTTGCATTAAAAATTTACTGAGGTAAGAAAATAGAAAATCATTAGAAATATCAAATTATGTTATATTTCTAAATAATTTTCACTTACTCTATGTTAATATATGATTGAGAATTTGGTTGTCCGTTTGTTATATCCACGGTTTTATAACAAACGCATACTCCATTTATTATACTGTTGTTTTGTTAAAAGAAAATTATATTAAAAATATTTTCTATTATTATAATAATCGAGGATGTAGAAATTTGAATAGTTAACAAAATTAAAAATAACATACCCAGCTGCAGCGAAACCATTTGGTGCCATCTTCGATGCCTTATGTACAATTCTACTACATATAATTATATCTGTTACAGCTTTAGAACACAAATCCTTGTTTTTAATTTTATAACACAATTGTTTTTTCCTCCATGCCTTCTGCACTGCAGAATTTAGTATTACATTATATTATGAAAAATCACAACATTATTAAATTTGAAGATTTATTTGGAGATATTAGAAAAATATACTCACTCGAATCTACGGTATGCGAGATAATGCTATATCCTTCTGGAGGCATTTCTCGTTCATTGATAATGGTGATATCTTCCACAATGCAATGAGGTAAACCTTCGGTCTTCGAAAAGCATATGTATCTACCTTTCTTTTTTATGAATAATCCAGTTTCTCTCCATAAATCGGCATCGGTATCCTGATCATATGTTCTAGATACCTTTGCAAAACAAACATAAGTACAAAAATAAAATGAATATAATCTGAAAATAATGTCATTTAATATCCAATATAAAACTTACGACTGTAAAATTTGGTGGACATTTCTCTATATCCTCAATAATACTAATGGCAGTGATGGGTCTATCATCTGGCAGAACGGTAGATAATTGATGAACTAACATTTTGCTACTGCTTTTCTTTGACATTACTGTAATCTATAAAAAGATTATTTACTTATATAAATTATATATATATATATATATATATATATATATAAATTAAAGCTCCAAGGCATAACCATTTGAACGAAAAAACACAATAATAGAATGTAATTTATGAATTTCGCATACTTGGTAAAAATGGTAAAGATACATTCAAAATAACTTGACCTTTAGTCCGTTTCTTCGATCGATAAAAAAACTACATTAAATAAAATAAAAAATATTATCTTCATATCATAAAGTGATTATAATTTTTTGGATTCTCATTGAAAAAAAGTGAGATAAAAGTTGTGTTTATCTTTTGTTGTGACGTCTCTCTAGCAACTGGACTCTCTTCAAAACTATTTCGATGTGAACATATATTGCTAAAGCTCAATATCTATAAATAAATTTACGCAATTGACTGTTATTTATCTTTTTAACTCACCTTCTCTCAAAAGATTAGAGCATTGAAAAATTTACAATGGCCGCATAGTCGGCCGTTTTTCTTTTCTACCAGCTCTTAATTAGCCGATCAATTAGCTCCAATGAGAGCGACACGTCAAGTTTCTTTCGAACAACTCAGCCCCTAACTCTATCTCTCACGACAGAACAATTACTTCGTTCGTATCTTTGTATGTGATTCTACCAAGATTCAAACTCTTGTAGAAGAATAAGTTTCCTTAGTACGGTTTCAGTGTCGCTAGACTTCGCTGATGTCTCTTCTCAGTCATGCTTGCCGACTGAGCGATTTAATAAATTCATTCGATGAGTATTTTTATCAAATTCTGTATATATTTATAAATACTTAACGCATGTATAACTCTTTTTATACAGACTAACGTTCTAATTTTTTAATGAAATATATAAAAAATTAATTGAAATGTTTGGAATAACTTTGTCGCCGTCAGAATGCTATATGTCTGACCTTTTTTTTTTTATAAAAGCTTAACTCGTTCACAGGATTGATCCAATTTTATGTAAAATATAATATCATCATTCTTTGTAGAATACCATTTACAAGTAATCAAAAAAAAAAAAAAAAAGAAGAAAAAAAAAAGGGAATATATTTTTATTTCTCTAATCTGCACTACAACTAATCCAAAGCAGTTCTTTTTTCTATCTAGCCTAGGAAAAAGTTTGAAAAACAAAAAATTACACGTCGTCCATTTATAATCACATCTGTGCAGGGAGATTTTCTTCTTTTTTATTCAATGATATAAACATTATGCAATATGATAAACATATTAACGATACGACTTTTGGTACCGTGCTCTTGCTCCTGGACCACCAAACTTTTTTGGTTCGCATCTCCTTGGATCTGCGACCAGAAGAGTACGATCATATTGAATAAGAATATCTTTTATATCCTTCTTGCTGGCTTCATCGACATCTACAAATGCGATACAATATTTCTGAATGCGTAGTAATGGAATAACGTACGTAGAGATAAATAAACATGAAAGATATATGAATGCATATATAGTTGGTATATAATTCACTTACATTTCTGATAATAAGCTACAAGAGCTTTGGAGATAGCTTGACGAATGGCATAAACTTGTGCTACATGACCACCTCCGTTTACTCTTACTCTGATGTCAACACCAGCAAATTTCTCCTAAAAGGTTATGATATTCGTCAATGTAATTGTAAAAACAATTCACATGCAAGTATCACTTTGCATGCAAGTCTCAGAATCCTTGAACTATATATATCATGGCTATTCATATTCGGAATAATTGAACATCATCGAATAAAGTTAGTATTTAGATAAATCTGATCTCATCTATTGTATAATCATTGTTCGATTATTAATACTAATAATATAGAAATATCAAACTTGTTACCTTTCCAAGGAGCAAAATAGGTTCTTGCAATTTGTATTGCAATACGCGAGGTTCAACCAGTTCCAATGGTCTTCCATTTACCCGAAGATTTCCACGGCCTCGTTTGCAATAAGCAACTGCAGTTGCACTTTTCTATAAATAAAAAAATATATGTATGTCAATAATAGTTTACAAAAGAAACGAGCGTCATAGGGAGCTTAATAATAACAAATTATGGCGTTTACCTTGCGTCCGAAAACTTGCACGGAATGAATCGGTTCCTTTTGTTTCTATGTATATATAAAAGAAAAAAATGTACATAATATACATATACATATATATATGTGTCTGTATTATTTTCATTGAAAATGAAATAAATATTATTGAATAAATTTATCAAGAAATTACAAATTCACCTTCTGCATTCTGTCAAACACGTGTACTATCTTGGAAAATAACTACGTGAAAGGAAGTAGATCCGCTGTGGGGCAGTAATGTCGAATTACTACTACGTTAGTCAAAGATATAACTATAAAATGAAAATCATGATCATCCGGTGTACGAAAATTCAAATGATCGAATAAAATTTGTCCACGATTTATCTTGGGATAAATTAAAAAAAAAAAAAAAAGAAAAATTAAAACACATAATAACTTATAAAAAGAATTAATAATCTTTAATTAATCTCGTAATATGACAGAGGTTAGAAATTGAATATATTAAGGTTTACTTGTATAAACTTTTAAGTGTGCATCAATGTAAAAGTTTCTCAAATAAAATCTAAATAATTTTCTTCTTTTGAAAAGTCTACGTTTTGTAAGGTTTGGCAAGCTTGAAAAAAAATGTATGCATCATGCTGCCTCTATCGAAAGAAACTTGAGATAGACTGATGCAAGGAGGCAGACAAAAAGCATGATGGCGCCTACTTGTACATAATTGTAGTTTAATTCATTTAATAGGCCGTCATTAAATGTACGTCGAAAATAATAATCTTATAATAGTGGGAAATAGTGGTTGTGTTCAGGACTATTCGTCCGTGAAAAATGGCCACAAAAGAATCTGGTGTTACCATCGACGATGGTATAGCGGAACCTGGCATAGAGCCGGGTGCGTCCGCTGAAACGATGCTCGTTACAACAGATAGCTTTGAGGAATACGAACAAGAGATGAGTAGCAGTATCGACGATAGACAAATGAAGGAAAGTACGACAAGTACTATATCGGAAATTCAGGACGACGTACAAGACATTCCTATGACGCCTACTGCTAAGAGCCCTCACGATTTAAAGAAAGATGAATCCTTAGATGAATCCGATATGGTCAGTTTTCATATACTTTGCTGAGATTTAGATGCGACAACTTTTTGTTTTATTTATTTATTTATTTATTTATTTTCTTCTCTTTTCTTTTTTTACTTTCATTAATATTACATCTCCTCTCAGGACGACATTGCTCATCGTTTAGGTCAAAGTAGTTTAGATGCCGATCCGTTGCGTTGTAAAATCTGGTTAGCCCAAAGGAAACACGTATTTATTTTAAGTCAAGCAGGAAAACCCATATATTCTCGATACAGTTCAGAGGACAAACTAGTCACACTAATGGGTGTTATGCAAGCTCTAGTATCCTTTGTCCAAGCTGGCAGCGATATGATTAGATCTGTACATGCCGGAGATACTAATTTTGTCTTCTTCGTTAAAGGACCATTAATATTAGTTGCAGTTTCCAAAACATTGGAAAGTGTACCTCAACTTACTTTACAGCTTACGTATGTAGTTTTATTTGTTTTATATTGTCCATACATAACGTTAAAATTTTTTTATATTATATACTTGTTCTATATATATATATACACACATATATATATATATATATATATAAAAAAAAAAAAAAAAAAAAAAAAAATTTCTTATAGATATGTATATAATCAGATAGTCTCAGTTTTAACCCAATCTCAATTAACACGAGTATATGATCTACGAAGGAACTTTGATTTGCGAAGATTATTAAGCGGCAGTGAAAGACTGATAGATCATTTATTGAATTTTATGGATAGAGAACCTGCTTTCTTTCTAGGAGCTATTAAATGTTTGCCTTTACTTCCCTCAATGAGGGCCTCTATAACGCAAACTATTATACAAACCTGTGGCAAAATAAAGGTATAATCATTATTAATTATATTAAACGTATGTTTTTCTCTCTTATTTTAAAACTGAAAGACGATCTAACTATAAAGAAATTTTTCAGAATTTGGTCTTTGCGATACTCTTGGCTAATAATCAACTGGTCACATTAGTTAGAATGAATAAGTTCTTTTTACATCCAGTGGATTTGCATTTAATACAAAACTTGGTCGACAGTTCAGAGTCCCTTAAGACTTTCGAAATATGGACCCCAATATGTTTGCCAAAATTTGATGCCAACGGTTATATGCACGGCCATGTCTCGTATCTGGCGGAAGATTGTCAAGCATGCTTATTATTACTTACTGTGGATAGACACGTATTCTTTGTACTTTCAGAAGCTAAACAAGTAAGCTAAGCAACATTATAAAATGAAAATTTTATTTCAAAGTAATATTAACATAATTTAACGTAATTAAAAAATCTTTATTAGAAAATAGTGGAGAAATTAAGGAGGACAAATTGTTTAGAAGCGATAAATGAATCTATGAATAAAACACCAATTACGACCGCGGATATCGGCCTACCTGAAATGCGGCATGTTCTGTACAAATGTAAAAGCACGGCGCAATTTTGGAGTCCTGGTCTTCAACCGCCATATACCACTGATGAGGAAATAGAACGGTCAGAAGAAAAGTTAAACCTGTAAATTAAAAAAATAAAAAAAAGTTTAAAGGCTCATATTAACGATTTATATGTAAACAATATTTTAGATTACTTGGACAGTATCAATGTCTGCATCACAGATTACACTCTCCTAATCGACCATTAAAATTAATCTTTCAACAATTGGATAAAGAGACTATGTTGGCCTGGGTAAGCCATATTAGAATTGAAAGAAAAGATATACGTCATTTTAAATATTAATTTATAAAATTTTATGAAATTAATTTCAGGTAACTTCAGGTTTTGAAATTTATGTAACGTTCGAGCCACTTGTTACAAAGCCTGATGCAATTGATGCAGTTAGTAAACTATTGAAGTGGATAAAAAAAGAAGAAGAGAGACTATTTATATTAAATTCACCTACTTTCTAATGAACTTATGACATTAGCATAATCTTAGTCTCAGTTAATCGAGATTATCTAATTTTCATTTACTATATAATAGTATATAATTTTGCATCATTGCAAAGTACATATATTAATACCAAATTTAGTAAAATTCTTTTTTAGTTGAACGAAAAAGAAAAAGAAAGAAAGAAAGAAAGAAAGAAAAGAAAGAAAAAAGAAAAAAAGAAAAAAAGAAAGAAAAAGGAAAAAAAAGAAAAAAGAAAAAGAAAAAATATGATTCCTCTAAATATAATAATGACAATCTGCAATTTTAACGCAGTAGTTTTGGTCATACTTAAATATGAAGCCACCAAAACACATTTTGTTAAAAGTACCTGGATGCACTAACACCTTGTCGAAAGAAGTTGTATTATTTACAATTATCTTTAAGTATATAGTGATATATTTTAATTGTTACATTAAATTAGAGCGATAACTATTGAGAAATATATGAATTTCTATGCAAATGTATATATTCCTGATGATGAATAATCACAGAGATTGTATTTCTAGATAGGCTACACGACATTTATTTTAATATCTGATATGAGTGTGTGCGTGCCTCTGTGCGTGTGCGTGTGCGTGTGCGTGTGCGTGTACCGGGGAAAAAATGCAATATTGCATTTTAATATGGAATTCGTATTTAATTTTTTATACAAACATTAACGGGGACTCGTGCTGACATTTATAAATACGAACGCAACTCTTAAATGCAATGTGGAATTTATTTTTCTCTTCTTCTTTTCTTAAACACGATTTGTACATATTATTATATACAAAAGTTATATAATGTATTTGGGGATGATCGTTATTTGGAAATATAATATAAAAGTAAGCTACTGTGTAGCATTTCTATCGACGAACTTTAATACCTATTAAGATCGATGTTTGCAATTACTACTCGTTATTGGTCAGACTGGAGAATATAATGAAAATATAACAACTGTAGAAATGAAATTTATTTAATCCTATCTCGTAAATAATATATCAATGAAAATCTTACACGCGCGCATAATTGCCAAGTCAATGCCTAGCTCTTTCACGATCTCTTCTTCGATCCCTGTCTCTTTCTCTGTCTCGATCTCTATCCCTATCTCTGTCATCTCTTCTATGTCTATCCTTATCTCTATCTTTATCCTTATGCGAGGAGGAATGAGTCTTGGGCGATTTACTTCGTTTACGTTCCCTCCTGTCTCTATCTCTTTCTCTACTTCGCGACCTTTGCTTTTCTCTATCCGATTTTTTATCCGAACGAGAATGTCTCTTGTCTCTGTCTCTGTGACGATCTCTGTCTCTATCATGATCTTCCGTTCTTTTGCGACTTTCTTCTTTGACAGGAGGTATATCTTCGTCCTCTGACGTTTCAATTCCTTCATCCATGTCGTCTTCCAATGCCGATACTTTTGCCTCTGTAAATAATAAACGTATAAAGACAAAGAATAATCCCTTGTATCTTGATATCTAAGAGATACAATAATACTCATACCTAATTCATTATTTTCTTCTAAAACGTGACGCTTTTGGATTCTTGGCAAAATAACGTCGCATGATCTCTCTTCGCGTAGAAGCTCATCTATAAACTCATCCATATGGATCAATTCGAAAAAACCTTGCTTATTTTGTTTTCTAAGTTTTCTATTATCGTTGAACAAAGGCTCTAAATACTTGTAACAATCCAATGATGAACCTGTCAGTCGCATATAAAGTGCACCCAAAGCTCTGACATATTTGAATTCTTCGTTCTTTATGAACTCTACTATGATATCTTTTTCTGGCTGTATTTGTAACATTTTTAATATTAAACATAGAAATGGCGTCGGTTTTACATTGCCACCGTAAACTCCACCTATGTATCTAAACAAAAGAAAAATAATATACAAGTATTACAAGAGTAATTGTAAGATATAATCCATAGGAATGAAATTGAAATTTGAGGTTAATGGAATATATTATTTACTAACTTCAATTCCATGGCTTTGTCGACAAGTAACTCTGCGGTTAAAGCAAAACATTCTTCCTTCCAATATTTCGAATCGTAAACTCGAGATCTTATTATTTTCTCCACTAAATACTGTGGATTAGTACCGCGAATTGATTTCGCGTCTTTTACCGTGCGGTTCGCCATGTTAATAAATAGTTGAATTACTCGTCACTGGCGGCGCTACGTTCGCCTTTTCTATTAAAACTTTCGTCAACGACATTGTCTACGCAATAATCAATCAATGTTTTATCTTCGACGCATCTACTCAATGAACGTGTCAACGACTTGGAATATCATTGACGAACTTTTACGAATATACAACATTTTTTCAAATGCATACGAGATCGAATAAAAAATATAGATTCGTTCAAGTTCGTGGAAATGAAAGAAATGATCTCTCTGGATAACATTGGAATAGAATTAAGAAATGTTTGTGAAGAAATCTAAGAATAAATGATTCAAAGCGACGAGAGTCATCGCGTGAGAACGTCATAGGATAAAAATATTCATTGCGTCTTTCTCCCTCCATTCGGTACCTTTTTGAAAAGAAGCTTTTTAACGGTCATCTCCATTCATGGAGAGTTTGACGAGCATCTTCTTTTCTGACGTTTTCTGACGTTTTCTGAACTTTAGCGACGTAGGCGGCACCAGCCGCCATCTTAAACTGTAAGACAAGGAGAGTGTCTTTCTTCTTACGTTTCCGAAAGACTTTCAGTTCGTCGTTGGAAGAGGAGGATCGTCGTATTGGAAGGAGGAAGTGCGCGGCTTTTGTGGGAGAGTGCAACAACGATGCAAGAAAATAGACTGCTGTGATCGTTGTGATCTATACTAGTGTGTTATTTTGTGTTATTCAAAAGAAGAAAACAAATTTCAAATCGTTTCTTGTGCAACGTCGATCGTCGAACTCACCGATTCGAAGTGATACAAAAAAAAGGAATTCGTTTATTATACATTAACATTTATGAAGGAAGAAGAAATAACGTATACTTATTTATGCAAACACCCACACGCACACATATATCATGCGATGATGAACTGAAATAGATTACGACGTGCATCCTTCGTAGAAAGCTACGAATCATTGAAATGGGTTCAAAAATAGAGTACGTCGAGTCGTCTCACATGTATGCAACGAATTACATACGTAATTCAAAAGCGATCGGCGTACTCTGGGGTATCTTCACCATATGCTACGCCATAATTGGTGTTGTTGCTTTCGTAACACCGGAATGGCTCGGTGATTTGGAACACGAAAATCCTGGAAGATTTGGACTCTGGACAAGATGTAGCTATGGAAATGGTAAGAAATGACGTTACATTCTTTATTAAGTTTTATATCTATCCAAAAATTTCTCAATTCGTGTCATTGACTCGACTGAAACGTAGATACATCGAAAAAAAAATTATTTGCCAATTAGAGTTCGTAGACATGTTGTTAATGTCCATTGACGAACTTTTTAATAAATTCACGACGTAAAATAATGTTTATTTGTTAACTGAGTAAATCAGTATTTTTCTTTTTTCTTTTTTCTTTTTTTTTTAATGACTTTTTAGGTGAATTAGGAGAGGAATGCATCGGAAGATTAGACGATCTTTCGACCATAGCCAATGTCCCATTTAGAGCCAGCACTATATTAGTTGGAATTGCAGTGATCGTTGCATTGCTCTCGATTTGTGCGATGCTACTTTTCTTTTTTTGTCAGAGCACGACCGTTTTTTATCTTTGTGGCTGGATGCAGGTAGTTTCAGGTAATTTCAAGAATACATGTTGTTAAAATTGTACAATTGCGAGAGGATATTAGAAAGTACGATCCTCCTATGTCGACTCAATGCTTAGTGATGCAATCAATCCCCCTCTCCCACCCACCCTATATATATATATATATATGTATTATTTTACATAGAATTTAAAAATCTTTTCACATATCCGGTTTCAAACGTGCATCGGGTTTACGATAAGAACGTGACTCTTATGGGATATGCGCAGAAAATGTAGAATAGTCCGTTATGTGTAAAAGCCCATCGTTGATATTTATGTATATATATATATATATATATGTATATATATATGTATTTGTGTTTATGTATGCATATAGTACATATGTACCGTTGGCTACGCCTTCGACTATTAACATACGCGTTTTGTTGGATTTTATTACAAATAAAATAGTATAGTGTCGTCGTTTTTTAAATTTAGGTTATGTTTGATCGCTGACACTCGCATGTTTCCCGACTGCGAAAAAAAAGAAAAAAAAGAAAGAAAAGAAAAAAAATTCTCAATCGTTTTAGATCAATCGAACCTTTGACAACTTTTCCTTTTATTTATTAAAAAACAAAATAACAATGAAAAGAAAGTTAATGGAAAGTTGCTCGAGATTACTTTCTCGAAAAAGTAAAAAAAATTGCAATGAGATATTCATGTTTAGCAATCGGATACCAGCAGCTGCTGCAGCAGCGTATGACGTGCGTTGTATTTTGAGTTCTCTGTCGTGTTGTTGGTATCATACCGAGAATTGCTCGTTCCGTTTCTATAACTAGTCACGGTGAAAGTTGCCGTTTGAAATGCGAACGAATTGAGAGAGAATGCAAAGGTTTCACCAAAGAAAATCAACTTTGCTCGATGTGTTTAGCACGTTCAACGTTCAATGTTTTAAATTTCAACAAATTTTAAATTATTATTTTTTTTTTTTTTAATTTTGTCCTCAACTATCTCGCTATAGTGTATATATATATATATATATATAGTACAACATTAAAAAAAAGAATTTGTTACAATAAAATTAATATCTAAATTAAAAAGCAAATATATACATAAAAGTACATACGTACTTTTTATATATACATAGTGGAATAGTTCTGTTCCCTAGATTAATCTCATCAATTCAAATGCCTTTCTCTAAATGTCACGTGATCTTAACACATTGAGCCTTTCAATAGTCAATCTCAATTATTATTATTATCAATTATTATTATTATTATATTATTATTTATTATTATTATTATTTCGGTTTTAATTTGTAGCAATATGTATGGCAATTGGTGTATGTGTTTATCCGCTTGGCTGGGATTCACCAGCAATTCGAGCAGTTTGTGGTGCATCTGCATCCAGGTAGAATTCTTTTATTTTATTCTCTATAGAAACTGAATTAAGCAAATTTATTTTTGGATTTGGATTTGCAGGTACAATCCTGGAGCATGTGCAGTTAGATGGGCCATACCATTAGCTGCAATTGCTGCTCTTGATGCTACTACCTTGGCTGCTCTCGCTTTCATTCTTGCCTCGAGACATGTTAGATTACAACCAGAACCTTTCAACAATGGATCTTTGTACAAAGGTATGCGACATGATAATATCCATCTATTTATATTTTATTACATTTTTGATTCATTAATAAATTAACGAGTTTATTATAAATAAAAACTCAAAATTAATCTAATTAACTCTGTTTATAAAAAAGTAAAAAGATTTGTTATAATATCAAAAAATAAATATAAAATATTAACATACTAATAAATTTTTTTTGATTATAATAAAACACAATAAGATTAATAATAATAAAGTGTATATATATATATATACACACATTATTATTTCCGTTTTGGGAATATCATCTTTATAGAAAAACTAATGTCAATGCATTTCTTTCAGGAGAGGTCAATCCAGGTTACGTAAATGAGGCTCAAAGCGTGGCTGGCTCACGCAAATCTTTGTCCTTGAGACCAGTCCTTCTGGTAGCACCACCTGAACAAGATCGTTACAGTGAACTGTCCAGAGCTAAATCGCATTCTCATCATAGTCTTTACACGCCAGCACCTTCTCATCCGGTTCACACGGTTTCAACGAATACTTTGAATCATTCTCAACATAATTTTCAACTTTGAACAAATTTTTCTTCTTTTTTAAAGAACAAGAGTGTACATATATATATATATATGTAGTTGTCCATGACAATCTTTATTATTATTAATATTATTAATATTATTATTATTATTATTATTATTATTATTATTATTATTATTATTATTATTATTATTTTAAGTAATGGCTATACGTCGAATTTTTTTGAACAAAAATTATCTGGAATTTGATATATAGCTGCTAAATGATATATATATATATATATATATAAATTTTTAAATGCTCTCGTTAACGAGAAGCAACAATGTTCAATTTTGCTCGATACTATTATATATCTTTAGATAAATAATTATATAAATGTAATAACTTTTTTAAATATTTTTTGTTTACATCGACGATAAGAAATTAAATGATTTTTACGCTGAGAATATTGCGAACAATTGAATTTATACCTTCTTTAAAATATTAGTTAATTTTTTTAAGTCACCAAATTATTTCAAAATAATTTAAATAAATTTTAATTAACAATAATATATCTCTTAGAGGGTATGTTTGTTTTGTTAATTAGTTTAATAAAAACGATATCGTTTTGACTAGTGTATTTTAATGATATTATACAGGACAATTTGAGATTACGATTATTAATTAGTCGATAATAATCGAAGGAAAAAATTGATTAAGTTTAACATTTTCGAGTTCGAAGACTCGAAAAATTTTTTTTTTCTCAGAAAAAAGAAAGTTATTGTGGATGACTATTTAGTAGAATCTTTGAGTTATCCTTATTTTCTTTCACACACTTGGTAAAGATATATAAGTCCGATCTTATAATTAAAATCATCTTTGTTAAATATATCATTGATAAATAAATAATAATAATAAAGAAGAAGAAGAAGAAGAAGAAGAAGAATGCAATATTCAATTATCCAATTAAGTGACAGCGATTCATTCTAAACCTATAATAAATATTTCTTTGAAGAATTTTCTTAGGATAAATAAAAAAAGAAAGAAACAAAAACGACGAACACTAATTAGTCTTAATTTCTAGATTTCTTTTTCTATCAACGAAATATATATAAGATCTCCTCCTTAAAAATTAATTGAAATAAAAACATTGTCAAGGTGGTAAATACGATTGAAACTTGTTTTAGAAATATTCTTATCATACTGAGACATTATTTTTTTTTCTTTAGAAGCCTTTAGATAGAAAGAGAAGAAAAGAAAGAGAAAAAAACACCACAGCAGGATGTCGAGGCAATGTGCATTTTATAGTGCATTAATTGGACCGAGATGAAAAACGGGATAAAAGGTTTTTACAACGTTATAAACGCAAAACTGACATTCTCTCTCTCTCTCTCTCTCTCTCTCTCTCTCTCTCTCTCTCTCGTTGCTATATAATTTCTCTTTCTTTCTCTCTCTCTCTCTCTCTCTCTCTCTCTCATGCCTGTTTTATGTCACTCTGACATTTCATAGTATTTTACACTAGTGCAACGTGTCAACGGTACAACACCAAACTCGTTTATGGCTTTACTGCATCGTGTGTCCTTTTCATATACATACATATATATATATATGTATATTTTCATGTCTTCCGTGTAGTCATACTTTACAGCCGTTACTTTATTACCCTTTTCGTTTAATCATTCGGACAACGATATTCATGTATTTATTCATATTTTCACTTCTTGGTCAAAATCAACAGGATTCTTACTTATCATCTTACTTTACATTTGGCGAATTCAGACGTCTATGTACCTTGGTCAAACATACATAACAACCTTTTAAAGGTTAACTTAGAAATTATATATAATAAAGGTTAAATTATAGAGATCTCACAGACCTATCATACTACATCATTAAGCCTAAAATCTAAATGAGATTTGTTTGTAAGATTTTCTTTAAATTTCTTTGTTCAAAATGATACCGCATGGTTGTACGACATCTATGTTTATCAACCTAGGCCTTTTTGAGGTTGACTTTTTTTCATCTTTTTTAAGAAGTTCCTCTATCGAATAGGGATTTCGTTTTTTTTGTACCTGAGCCGGTCTATTTTCAACAGGTATTTCATTACTCGTTACTGTTGTACTCGTTTGTTCTTTTTCTGCTTCAATAATTCTTTTTTGTTGATTTTGTTGTTGTTTGTTGTTCTGCTGTTGCTTATCTGTTTCCAATGGATTTATTGGTGGTGTCGGATGTCTTATAAATGCACTTCGATCGCTTCCTATCTTCTGACCAAGTTCTAATATAATCCTACCACTTTGAAAGGATTTATATTGATCCTGAGATTCAGCATTTTCCTCTAGATCGCTCTTGTCTAAAGAGTCATCACTTCCTGCCATAGAACTCGAACTGGATTTTAACTCCACTTGATTTTGTACTCCATTTTGATCGGTTAATCTTTCTGCATCTAGAGATCTAAAAAAAGAATAAAAACCAAATATTTATATAGTATTTTCCCATTATTATATTGTTATATTTTCACATTGAGCTTACGTTAATGATTGCATTCCATGATGTAAATGTAATGTTGTAGCTTGATATAGTGACGAATAAAAACTTGGGTTCCAAGAAGGTGTACCGTTGTTTCCTGAACTCGTTGAGATTTGTAACGGTCCTAATGCACCCGGGTAGAACAATTGATAGTCCGTCCTCATTAACGATTCTATAATAACAAAACAAAAAAATGATCATAACTATTAGCTATAAAAGCTAAATTAAAGCTATTTATGAAAAAGAAAAAAAAAAAAACAGAAAATGAAAATTGAGCCAGATTGGTTGGTTGGGTGGTTGGCTGTTGGAAAAGAAGCTGTCAAAGTCACGTCAAGTCGAATATTTATCTTCAATCTTTCGTGCTGAATTTAATTATTGGATAGAAGTCGGCTGTTTCGAGTTTATAATACGTCACGTGAAGTTTTAACTTATCGTTTGTGGTTAATAAGTGGATCAGGTTGAAGTCAGCTGGCGCGATTTCAAGTGCCCCTAATATTATGCAACCCTTTCCATTTATTTGCTCAACTGGTCTCAGTCTGTGTGGTCTCTCTCATTTTTTATCTCTGATCCTTTATATAATTTGTTTCTTTTTTTAAATTATTATTAATAAACAAAATTATATAACGTGAAGTATATATTAATTTTTTACACATAAATTAACAGTTAATTTTGTTTTATGCAAAAATAAATTATGATATTAATGTTACATGGAGTCATTCGAAATTAAAATAAAATAAATATCTATATTTTAATTCGATTTCTATCCCCAAAGGGGCTTGAAAAAAAAAAAGAATCGTCTGATGTAAAAATTGCATAGGTCACGAAAGAGAAATGATTTAAATTTGAAGATCCTTTCTCTCGGACCAGAGAAGTTTTATCGAAGTTTGCGTGTTCTTAGACTGACGAGTCAATCACGTTGAGTACCAAAGTCTTCACCAAATTTCTTCTCGACTATCGACTTTCTCCAGATTTTTTCTTCGCGGTTAATCGAGGCTAAAGAAGAAGGGTAAGAAAAGAAAACGAAAAAGATAGAAAAGAAAAAGAGGATTCGATGAAGTTTTAGATCAATTTCGTGCTAAAGACAGATGATGCTTAAAGGACCGTTGATTAAGATAAACTTATTGATCTATAAAAAAATATTTCACTACAATAATAATACCTGGAGGTATACAAAAATGATCTGAAATATATTATCATCTGAATGATAAGATAGAAATGAGTTATTTTTGGAAAATAATACGTGTACGATATGCACATATTTATTTTATATATGCATTATTATTAATGCGTAAAGTTTATTATTATTACTAAACATTATTACTAAATGATAAGAATATAAGTATAATCTTCAATTTTATATATTTAATAATAATACACTTTTATTAAATAACAAATTACTCATCATCGGATGATGAAACAGAGGAAAATTAAAAAAGAATCCCCTAATCTAAAATATTTAAAAAATTGTAAGAAAGATAAAAAAAAAAGAATGAAAAGTACCTCTGGAAGCAACATTGGAAGAGATTTGCGAAGCATATCCAGTGGATGAGCTCCCTTCGATTCCAGGATGATCCGTATGAAGTCCACCACCCCTGAGAATTCGGTTAACCGATGAAACGGAAGGTAAGCTTTGTGGATCGCAAGCTCCTTGTCTAGCAAGTTGTTCACGTATTTCCCAGGCAAACATCGTCGGCTGTTCCTGTTTCATTCGTAGAATTTTCTTAACGACCGTAGGTGTTGCTACTTGCTGCAATTGCAATATAAACATATAAACTCTGTCTTGGTCTCTAAAAGAGAGACTTTCATTTTAACGAGAGACCCTTCGAAAACGTTTCTCTCTCTATCTCTTTATATATATATATATATATATATATATATATATATGTTTCTCTTCTCTCCTAGATTTCACTTTTCTTTACTTAGAAACGTTTGCGATACCGCATTCGATACATTTCAGGAAGGATTCTACAGTGGATCGTAAAGATTTAACTTCAGGATTATCTTTTTCTTACACACGAGAAGCCATTTACATTCTTGATAGTTATATGGGGGACGATTACGAGCGAATATTTAACTTTTACGATCCACCTTTTAGTTTTCTAACTAAAATTATCTACCAAGGATATGTCCAAGATCTAATAAGTTATCTCTCTCTCTCTCTCTCTCTCTCTCTCTCTCTTTTACATTTTTAGATATACATACAAAGTTTCTGAATAGTTTTATTAGCGATATTATAATAATGTGGTATGTATTTAGGAATAAATTGATCGGGTCGCAACATCTTATTTCTCAATCGAGTTAAATGTAAATGAAACGTAACGAATCGACAGAAAATTTGAACGGAAAGAGAATGTCCTCGGCATATGTCGAGCACAGGTGAAGAAGAGGATCCATAAGACCAGGGTCAACGATCAAGATAACCAACTAAAGTCCGGTAGGTGGGTTATAAACCTACTACATACTTTATTTCGATTTTAGACCTCCGTTTTGGGACAGTACGAGGAAGAGAACTATCGTCATCTGCCAGCCCCATTCCTGTCCAGTTCCGTCGTCTGAGAGAGTTACTTCAGTGTTTCTCAATCGTCAATTCCAAAGTGATTTTAATTATTTTCGATCAAAATTCCCTTTGAATTAGAATAGAGACCTATCGTCATCTGTTAAAATCATTTATCTCATTTTCATAGCCTCTTCGAAGGTTTCTAAAGTAGTGAGAGTTCAGTGATTCTCAATTTCAAAGTGATTCTCCGAATTTGACTTGCTAATGATCTCTTAAGAGAGGGGACTACTAATGGTATATACAACACAACAAGAGAGGAGCCGCCGTTGATAATTTCATGCTAACGTTATGGAAATGTTATTCGGTTTCATACCGAGATTTTTGAGATCGTCGACTCGTGCCAAAGGCGACGAACCGGGAAAAGGGGAGGAAGAGAGAGAGAGAGAGAAAGATAAGAAGGGTGAATCTTCTTCTTTGCCAATTCGATCTTCCCTAATTTCTACCAAATATTTTTTGTTTCGAAATTTATTTCTAATGTATAACCTACATGTATGTATTATATATCATTTTTTCATTTTATAAATTAAGGGTTGCGTTTGGGTTGCGTCCAACTTTTAGACGCGTTTAGTTCTCTTTTCCTTCCTTTCTTTCTTTTTTTCTTTAATCGTTAAAAAGACAACAATTACACTCTGATTAAATCTCTATACACTATATACTTACGTATATTATATATATATATATATATATATATATATATATATATATATATATATATGGTGGGTTCACAAAATATTCAAATATATCTTAAGATTGAATTGTAATCAATTTTGTAATATTTCTGATATTCGAGTAGAAAGATTGAGAGTTACTGTCGAGGTACGCTACGTTTAAGGGCGGTTATGGCAAGAGCAGAGGACGGGGAGGGTCAGCCTAATAGTTTCAGAGGGTTAGGACAAGCCTCGCGTGCTACCAGGAGCATCTCAGATTCTAATCTGACACTTCCGTCGTCGTTGCCACAATTACCTCGGTCGACGTTGTGTATACGTGTCCTAATGTCGATCTCTCTCTCTCTCTCTCTCTCTCTCTCTCTCTTACTACCTCTAGCTATCCCTACATTACGAGCTACCTCTCCATACGCGTGTATTCGCTCACACGGTCGAGGAAATTGGTTTGGCAGGACGGACATATGGCGCTAAACGTTAGATAACGCAAACCGTTCGAACAGGTTGACCAACTCGGTAATTACCGCACGAACCTACAATGTCTGTGTGTGCGTGTGCGTGCATGCGTGTGTGTGTGTGCACATCCTAGCCGATAAAGGTTATCAGGACTACCAACGATCTTCGATCCTTTCCTTTTCTATTCTGCTTGAAAGAAAGAAACAAATGATAATTAATATATGAAATATTGATTAGAAATATATATTATGATGAAAACTACATAAGAAAACTATATATATTTCTATGAATCGATGCAATTCGTTGAATAACATGTACATATTTATCCGTATGTGCGCGTGTATACATCCTTATCGATAATTAATATGTGAAATATTAAATATAAGTTTATGTTACAACGAAAACTATACAAGAACTTTAAGAACAAGTTAACTTATATAAATCGATGCAATTCGTGAGAAAAAAGGAGAAATCAACAATGACTTCATTCATGAGAGAATATATTTTATATGTTCTCTTCTATCTAAATCATTCAAGTTGAAAAGTAAACATCGTAAGACTAGTCTGTTTAGATCTTAATTACCTGATAAAACTGGAAAACTGAACGTTTTTCTTTTTATCTCTCTCTCTTTCTCTCTCTCTTTCTCTCTCTGCAGGTAGATAGTACTCGAAAGGATCCATCGATCCAGAAAGTTTCGATCGATAATTAAGAATAATTGAAAAATAAAAGAAAAGTGTTTCATAAAGACAGTTTTGTTCCCTTAAATGTTCATTATTGTTTAGAATGTAAATTGATCTCCATATATATATGCATATATATCATATGTATATATATATATATATATTTAAAAATATTTATATCGATATATATTGACCTCGTTTGTCGGACTGATTGGATCATTCTGATGATAATCAGTCATCGACGAACTTGCGAACGAGTTAAGCGTGTCATTAAGGCGGGAAAATTTGAATGTTGTTCTACCTGTTAAAAAGAGATTCCTTCACAGCTGTGGTAAAAGAGTGGTGCGGGCATTACATTTACGAATGCCACGAAAAAGAGAAAAGAGAAAGGAAAGAGATCAAAGTTGGAAAGAGATAGCAGCAGATTTTTTTCGTTTTCTTTTTTTCCTTTTTTCGTCGCCCATGACGTTCCACTTTATTACCTTCGCTCCTTCGACTGGGCGTGCATTTTTCATGAGACAATTTTCTCTCTCGTGATGTCGCCCCATTATCCTTTCTCTCTCTCTCTCTCTCTCTCTCTCTCTCTCTCTCTCTCTCTCTCTCGCTATCGTATCGTATTGGAGCGCACGCGTATGCTTACAGATAACAGGCGAAAGTACTTACGAGGACACGCATCGAAAATGTTACCTCATGTGTACGGGAGAAACACGTGTAGATCGTCTCGATAGTTTGGTAATTAATTCCATAGCTCGTATGCCAAATTGAACGATACGCATAGCTTCTAGAAATTATATTCTAGATCGATTCATCCCTGATTTTTACCTATGTTTCCTTCTATACTTTATCAACAATTTTCTATACAAAAAAAAGTACATTCCCATTCGTTTTCTCTTACAATTATAATTTCTATCGACACGATATTTATATAAATGTTAAATCTTTTGTCGAAAAGTTTGAAAAATTTTAAAATTATGAAAAAAAAAACATGGTGTGTCTACGTGAGATTCGAACCCGCGAATCTATGTGTAGGAATCTAATACGCTACTCGTTACCCTACCAATTCTATTGACTGAACGTATGCATTTAATGGACCTACATCGAAATATCAAAAGTTCAAATTGATTTTCCAGGAAAACAGCTGGTCATTAATGTTTCATATTTGACAGGTGTACTATAATAGACATTTTCTTTAATCTAATTATAAGACCGGTATCGTTTGAATCCTAGGATCACAGACAACTTTACTTTTTTGGTCGGTATTAAATAGTAGGCTTTCTTAATGGAAGAGATGACAATGAAAGAAAAAAGGGACTTAAAGGGATATCCCTGTGCACTAAGTGTTAATTTTATACCACACAGACACACGCTGTATCCGATTTCAAGAAAAAAAAAAGAAAAAAGAACAAGGAGACCACTCGTTATCCAATTATCGATCATTTTAATTATCGATCACTTTAATTACCGTAAAAGCCACTTTAAAGGTTTACTATCTTGTGATCTACCTCTTATAGTGAGAAAAAGAGAGGGGAAGTGAGTGTGAGAGAGAGAGAGAGAGAGAGAGAGAGAGAGAGAGAGAAGAGAGATACAGGTAATATCGTGATAAAGATCTCGACAGTTTCTTTTTTTCTCTCATTTTTCTTTGATCTTCGGAGCTTCGAATGATTAGGCGAAACTGATAAAATCGATATCAATAAGTATTTCATATTTTCAAGAATAAGAAGAGGAAATGTAATATTTCCAAAGATTGGGTGTATATCTACTATAATAAATTTTTTCATGGTTTTCTAATTTTTCTAATGCCAAGGAAGAGATGCATCCTATAAGAAATTTTTCATACGTGTGAACCGTAGAATTATATTGTCATTAGTGTGTGTGCGTGTGTGTGCGCGTAGAATCATGTGCCTAAGGGATCTATTAGCGTTGAAGTAGAATTACACTCGAAATCGTTTTCATCATTTTCTACGATATTATCAAACACATTAGAGAACGAAGAGAATATATTTTTTTTTGTCGTTATTTAAAGAAAATTTAGTTTATATAGGATGGGCCGCAGTGTCCTACGACCAAAATTATTTCTAAAGTGATTTTATTACTCATTATTTTTCTCGAGATTTGCTAGACTAATTATTTTTTTTTTCTCAGTATATAAAACTACAAATAAATATAAATTTTTGTATTCCGTATGTAGTTAATGATTGATGTACTTTTGACAATGAAAATCAATTCTAAAAATATATATATACACATATATTGGGTGTGTGTGTGTGTGTGTATGTATCAATTATTCTTTCTTGAGACTTCTTAAGCTTGCAGCTAGATTTGTGTAGTTTTACATTCTGAATAAAAAAATTAATCTAAGGTATCGAAAGAGTAATTGATTTTTAAAATCACCTAGGACCTTTTGGTTCATCCGATATTACAAAAAAAATTAGATTATTCTGTTTGAGTTGTTATTCCTTTTTTTTCCTCCTTTTCTTCTTGAGCTACCGAAAAGAAGATCGAAATCATTCTCGCATCGAGTACTTGATTAATTTAACACATGAGATCCCATAAGACGATGATCACACATCATCCCGTGATTCACAAACTGGGCGTACCGTGCGAACGTACAAACGCGAACAAGAAAAGCGTGCAAAAGCCATGAAATTATGCAAATGTAGGACGTCGCAAGGTGTTTGGATAATTGCGTCTTATGGTCAACACAAATACACACGCACACACACAGGCCTTACTTAAAATCACATCAGGAATGTCCGAAGCATCCTCTACCTTCTCGCTATATTATCTACCTTTCCCCTTCTTTTCTTTCCCTCTCTCTCTTCCCCGCCCCTCTCGTTCTTAACTACATACGGTTCTTTGATTTTGTTGTTGTTGCTTATTTTTTTCTTTTTTTTCAAATGAACAAAACAAAATATTTATTATTATTACTATTATTATTATTATTATTATTATTATTATTAATATTATTATTATTATTATTAATAATAAGTCTAGCAAAAAGTTTTATTTTGTTTGGAAATAATAGTGTTTTAATTGAGCACAACTTTTAAATGTAGACCTTCGCTTTATTTAAATATATACGGGTTATTGATCTCATATAGATCAAAGTCTCAAATTAATAATAATAATAATAACAATAATAATTTTGATATATAATACATATATTTTTGGGTTCGTTCAACCAATAAAAAATGTGACTCGATTATAAAAAATATAGACAAACCTTAGTTTTACTTCCGCCGATGCTACCTGGTCTGATGCTTCCAGTTTCGTAAAATCTTGTTAATATTTTGGAAACACAGCCATGAGAGACGAGTAATTGTCGTGAGATATCGCAAGGTCTAACACCGACTAATGCTAGTTGTACGATACGTTGACGTACGCAGTCTGGTAAAGGTCTGCCATTGACAAAAACGCCACCAAGTTGATTCACTCCTGCTTGACCTACAAAAAATAAATATTTTTATACGACGATAATTCATTTACAAAGTATAAAAGGAGAGAGCGATTTTATACATATACTATTTTGTTTTTTTATTTCGTTTATATCGAATAAATTACTGTTATTTTATTTACATTGAGTCGATAAATAAGTAATGTCGATAAATTTGTCAAAAATACATTAAATTATATAAAATATTCTGTATTATAAATGTTATATATATAAAAAATATTGATCTTATTTGATATAATTTACGTATTTATATGTAATATATCGATATTATATTTATTGTACTTTTTATGACAAACTTCGACACAATGCAAGTACTAAAAAAGAAAAAGACGATATAAAAAAAACAAATCGTTAATTTAAAAATCCGCATTTTACGAGTATGTAAATAACTAAGATAGATATAAAGTGCGAAATCTTACAAGTAAAAGGATGATTTCGAACGGTCATCGATCTCATAAGAATCCCGAATGAAAAAATAACGAAATTTCTTTTCTATCTTTTCGACACTAATTTTGAAAGTTTTATCGTTGAAAAGACACGTTTCGATCGATTGGCTATAATTTTTATGGCAGTTTGTTTCTCTCGGATTAACGGGAAGATGTCTATTCAAGAGGATCATCAATTTTTATTTCAAATCCTCTGCCAATAATTTTTTTTCATTTTCCTATCGAACGATCAAATAATGTTGATGTAAGTTTAATGATTTTTTTCAATCATTCTTCTGACCATAAAAAAACAAAATTGATTTTGTAAACATTGTGCTACTATATTGTTGTTTGTGACAATTTCTGGACAAAAAGAGAGAGAAAGAGAGAGAAAGAGAGAGAAAGAGAGAGAGAGAGAGAGAGAGAGAGAGAGAGAACTACTACCTGAATTGGCCTGAGGGGAATAAGTAGAGGAAATTATAGCGCTTATACCAAGCGGTCTCGAGCACGAGTATAGGAGAACCAGAGGAGGGAGAGGGCCAAATTATTATTACGGCAAAAAGCAAGCAGGAAGGCGGTCCTATCTACATAAAAATCAAGCTGGTCCGAATTCACGAAAAATAATGCCTTTGAAAAATAATCCTGAATGCACCGGCACTGGCATCGGCACCGACACTGCTATACATCGCAGCACTGCACTGCACTGCACCGAATTGCACACCGCTAAATCAAGCGAATCCGATGCAACCCGACGTTTCTCATCTCCCATAACGAAAGAATTTCATAACACTGTGAACGTTAACGTTCCATCTGCGTAAATTGAAAACATATGACTACGTATATATGCTCGATTTATAATGTTCAATGTGTATTTATGTACGTGTTATACATGAACATGTATGATTTCAATTTTGGATTCATTCATGTATGTTCATTGATGCATTTATCATGTCATATGCGTATATGTATTAAAGTATATATATATAGTATATATATGTGTGTGTGTGTGTATTAATGGTGCCAAATGTGCAGTTATAATGTCAAATGTACATTTACGATGTCAAGTGTTCATGTATGATATTAAATGTGGATGTATGGTGTTAAATATACATGTATGATGGAAAATAAAAATTCGCCATTGAAAATGTGACATTAATAGGAAAAGTAGTGTCATTTGGATGCTTCGTTGCAATCTTTAAGCACTTTATGTACATATATATATATATATATATGTATATATATATATATTCCCGATATGTTGCTTACGTTGCTCGAGAGACGGTAAACTAATGCGGACCGGAAATGATCGCTATCACGAATGCCATTTAGGTTTCTGCCCGAACTCTATACACCTGCCTTTACCTCCAATCACGATACATCTAAGCTAATAGATTCTCTCTCTTTTTCTCTCTCTCTCTCTCTCCCTTTTATCTTGTACACACGTGTGTTTGTTTTCTTAAAGAAATTCTCGAGTATGAACTTTTTGTTTTTCTTTTATATCTTATTTTTTTTCTTTCTTCTTTTTAAGAACTCTTCAAGTATTTAATAAGTGCTTAATAAGCCGATATTCCTTTAATGAAAATGATCTTATAAATGGTCGGCTCCTCATCCCTTCCTATTTTGATATTATCTTCCTATATTAACGCCATATCGTATGCACCTTTTCTCTTTTTTCTCAACGTTCATGGGGTTCCTTTCTTTTTCGTTTTTTTTTTTTTTTTACTTTAACTCTCTCACCATTTACTTATTTACCTCATTTATAAATATGATTATATATAAATAAAAGAAGTTTTTCTATTTAGTGAGAATGATATCTCTCTTTTGTTGGCGAAGAGAAAAAATAGAAAAAAATAACGTCCAAAGATTTTTTGACCATGGATAATAATAATTATATATAACGTGTCTGTCTGTGTGTGCGTGTATGTATATGTATATATCGAAGTGACAAATTTTTAAGGAAAAAAAATGAAAAATCGTAAACAGTCCATAAGATCCATAGATCGTAAACTTAAATGATCGAAATGTTTTATTTTTTAGAGAGAGAAAGAGAGAGAGAGAGAAAGAGAGAAAGGCAAAGAAGAAGAAGAAGAAGATAAGATCGAGAACTAGTAATACGTGAATGAAATAAGGGAAACCTCAAAAAGAGTATCATTAAAATCGTTTATAGTGAAATGATTTTGATTTCTACCGATATTGGAAAGAGTTTCTTAAATCTTAAATATATCGATCCTTTTGATCTTGCCGTCTTGAAACGATTAACGACAATTTATAATCCGACGTTTTATAAATCATTCTCGAGTGAATATAAAAAAAAAACGGAGATATCAAAAGGTATACTCGTCGTTCTCGATTTTAATATATTTCTCGATCCAATCTCGATCTTGATCTCTCTTTCGAAGAAGAAGAAGAAGAGGAAGAAAAAGAAAAAGAAGAAAATGAGAGTTCTCCCTTTCGTTGCTCCTTTTCTCGCGGATATGTTGTCTTGATTTATCGTTGAAAGCTGAAAATTCTAACCTTCGTGACTCACCTGTATGCGGCATGGTAAAACGTCTCTTTTCGGTTCTCTTCCTAAAACAAATTAGAATTGTTATAATTAATTGTTAAAATTTAGAATTGTTAGAATTGTTATATATATATATATATATATATGTATATATATATATACTGAAAATTCGGGATGAGAGAATATCATATAAAAAAGTTGGTTTTTATGAATTCAAATGATTTTTTTCATAAAAATTTCTTCACTTTTCTAATACAAATTTTTACCAATTTTCTAAAATATCAACAAGTTTATAATTTAAATAATTCTCAATACGTTTCAATGATAGTCAAATAAATATGAGTTTGAATTTTCCGAATTATCGGGATAAAATAATGTAAATAAATTAACGAATGACCTAGTCACCTTTTGATTCTCCAAGAAATATATGTATATGTATAAATATATATATATATATATATATATATATGTATATACACATATACAATATGTATGTACAATACATATATATACTTATTAAATACAACTTATAAGGAGTCTTTATTATACAATACAAGAGTGGCATGGAAGTGGCGCGAAGAAACGGAGTTATAGTCGCCGTGGATAATGAATTTAAATGTATTCAAAGGGCGCGCTTGACGCTTGACATGGCAACCCTTAAATATGCAACCGTACCGATAAGCCGAAGCGCGGCTAAATATTGCCGGTAGTCGGCCAACCGTGATTCTCATTTCTCTCATAAGATATGATCGTACAGAGATTTAGGCCACAATCAAGTATGAAAAAGAGAAAGAGAGAGGAAGAAAAAGATGATCGAGATAAGTAAGAATTCGTTTCCGTCTCATTTTCTCCCGTTTACATACACTAAATGACACTTAAATTAATAAATGCATATGTCAATCCAAACAAATTATTTACGTAAATAAATGAATAAATAAATAAATAAATTAATTAATTAATCAGTCAATTAAATTAAATTAAATTAAGAAAATTATAAAGATTACTTTATGAATTATTAATATAAAAAAAAAAAGCACTAATTTGATTGCAAAATTTTCATTTGGAGGTACAGTAAAAAAATAATAGAAAAAAAATAGATGAGGATAGAAAAGGAGAGAAATATGAAATGAGAGTAGGTGTCTGAGAGAAAAAGAGAGAGAGGAGAGAGAGAGAGAGAGAGAGAGAGAGAGAGAGAGAGAGAGAGAGAGAGAGAAAGAAAGCGGAAAAGTACGTGGAATGCGTGCGTAGCGTGGCGGGTGGCGTGTACTTTGTGATGCAAATTAATGCGCGATTACCAAAGCTTCCCCTCCCCCTCTCTTTCCCCTTCTCGTCGTTCAACGTTTTTACCCTTGCTTCCTTGGTCTCTACTCAAGGAGGAGTAAAGGTAGTAGTAGTAGTAGTAGTAGTAGGTGCACCACGTACATCGGAGTACGATCGACCTCCGACCCTCCTTCGAAGTCGATGCTTACCCCCTATTAGGCCTGCTTACACGCTCGGCCTCGCTCGGGACCTTAATCTGATCGAATTATTACACGCGTTACGCTCTCTCCTATGGCTATCCTTATGAGAAATACCTTTTTTGAATTTCAACATTATTTTTTGGGGGATTTCTTTTTTTTTATTTTTTTATTTTTTGACATAAGAGTTTGACGATTTGATCCTTTTCGTTATTAGGAAGGAAGAGAAAGATTAAGAAATAAGGATGGTTTTGTTCTTGCGGTATTTTGGATTTCAAAGTGATTTTTGAGGATGGTCTTTTGAAGGGCTGTACGATAAGGGTGGCTTAATCTTGTGGTTGGAGTTGAGAGTGATTTTGTTGTGGTTAGTCTTTCGAGGATTTGTATTACAAGGGTGCTTTCATATTGTGTCTTTTGAATTAGACATTAAGTAATTCATAATTTAATTCTTCTTCATAAATAGCTGTCAACAATGGCAAGAGTAATAGTAATAATTAATATAATTTTCTTTTCTTTCTTTCTATGCTACTATTCTCTCTCATTTCTTTGACAATATACAATTTGTTTTTTCTTTTTTCCTTATGCAACTGCAATTTTGTCCAGGGCCTTCTGGTTTTAACAATTTTCTTCTCTTTTTCCTGATATTAATTTTTTTTCGTAGCAAGACAAGAATCACTGTTTCTTATATCTTTCAACTTTTACGAATAATTCTCTTCTCTTTCTTCCAGTTTTTTTTCTCCTTACAAGACAAGAACGATCATGTCTCATGTCTTTTCATTTCAACGATAATTCTTTTCCCCCTTTGTTTTTCCATTATAAGATAAAAACAAACGTGTGTTAAACGTGAATCGTTAAAGATTATAACAGAAGCCATTGAGAAAGGCCATTGTCCTGCCAACAAAATATCTCGATAATGAGGATTGAGCGATTATAGTAGATTGTAGAGGGAGATGGTAGAAGGTAGAGAACTTGAAGAAGGCGAAGCAGAACAGCAGCAAGAGCAGCAGCAGCGAGCATGAGATTTCTCGCATGCCATTTGTTTTGCCGATGTTACTCTTACAAACACGTGTCTGCGCAATCCTATCATCCTAACCGACGCCATTCTCACGATCTCACGATCTCAGTAAGTACCTTTGACCAAGCAGAATTTTTCCAAGCATCGCAACACACACTCTCTGTCTTTCTCGCTCTCTCATTCTTTTCGGTGATTTCGATGCTGGACAAACAAGATCTTTTTCCATCATATTAGACACCATGATAAATGAAATTAATCGAATATAACGATGAGATTTCCATTTAGGTTGAGAACCTTGCTTTTGCTACGAGTAAATAGTCGCTAAGGTCACGCTTTTACGTGTGTAAGCCTTAAGCTAAATCTAGTTTTTGTTTATTCATTAGGTTACCCCGTGTGTGCCTTTAAGTGCTTACGCCAAGAGAAGGTTTGACGGAAAGAGAGAGAGAAAGAGAGAGAGAGAGAGAGAGAGAGAGAGAGAGAGAGAGAGAGAGAGAGAGAGAGAGAGAGAGAGAGAGAGAGAGAGAGAGAGAGAGAGAGAGATGGTGAGTGTACGCGAGGAGGGTCGCGGGGGCGTTGGGAGGGTGGTGGACTCTCGTATCTCCGATACGCCACCAGCCATAAAAATCTGAATATATTAGGTCTACATGAACACGACATCTCGCTTGGATCGTGAACACGTTAGCACGATAATCTATACCTCTTTCCAACTTACACTTTGCACACGCTTATGCGTAAACTCATGCCAGCTTACCGCATCCTGAGTTATATCCTTTTTTTTTCTTTCTTTCAAAATATTCACTCGTTCGCTTCTCGTTCATTGAGAAAATTTGGCGCGAATTTCTACATCGAATCTATAAATACATACATATTTCTTTTTATATTAATCTACCCTTCAAATTAACGATATATAAATTTTTTTCTTTCGTTTATTTTTATTCATCGAGAAAAATTGCAAGAATTTTGAGCCAAAAAGATTTCATACGTAAGAACGAAATTTATTAAAAGATCGATCACAAAGTTTCAATTATAATGGACGACGACGACAACTACAATAACGATGATGATGATGATGATGGCAAAAAAATATACTAACACATCAAAAAGGTCAAATCCATGACATAGTCTTCCATTCGAAATATTTGGAAAACTAATGATCATACAAATGGTAAGCGATCGATAGGCTTTTTCTTTCTCTCTTGTAACATTATATATTGTCCATGCTTGAAAAGAATAAAAGAACGGTATATGGGAGAGAGGACGGAGGGGTAATTAGAATAATTCGGGCCGCCTTGGTTCACGCCAAGCCAAACGAATTTGCATTTTAAATGAAGCGATGGCGTGCCGTGCTTTCTTTCCTCGCCGTCGCCAGGACTTTGTCTCTCACCTTAAGAGAAACTTTTGACATTTTTCTAAGCTACTATATATATTTTTCTAAACCATATAAAATTTCCATTACATGTACATATGTATCTAATATTCGCAATATTTAGAGTAAGCTTTTATTTACTTTCGATCAGTAAATTTATAAGTTATTTATGAAGAAAGAAATAGTTATTATAAAGAAAGAAAAAGAGAAAATACAGATCGATCTCTGTAAATCATCATTATCTCAAAGAAAAAATATTCGAAATATTTAGAACAAACGTTTTCTTATTTTTGGACAAGAATTTAAGTTTTTGTACGAAAAGAAAGATGGAAAGAGAAATATATCATCCATAGATCATCGTCGATATCTATCTTTTTCACAAAACACGGACGTGACATTGAGTTACACACTGAGTAGGTAGTAGGTACGTAACGAAGGGGGGATCGCTTTAATTGGCAAGAAACTCGCGGCAAGGATAATTTATTTGTCCAGTCGATGCCGGCCGACAATTACACGCGGAAACGTCCGTCATGGTACGTTTTTTTCTCTCATCCCAACTGGAGAAAATAAAGTAAATAAAAAGAAGAAGAAGAAGAAGAAGAAGAAGACGAAAAATACGTGAGTGAGAGAGAACGAACGTACCTGTTGATTTTTATAATCCAGACTTCCTCCTAGTTTACTCTTCGCCGTCCAAACAACAAATAACAATATCATCCAACGACAATGTAATCTTCAGGCTCCAAAAAAAGAAACCTCTTCTCAATGTTTAGTGCTTTCCTCTTGACGTAAACATGTTAAGTAGCTCACGTGAAATACTGTCTTCTCTCATTGAGAAGAGAAAATGTCAACTAATAGATACAACAAAAAAATTTATATATTCCAATGAAAAAATAAATTCACCTTGCGACAAAATTAAAACACATAAAACACACTTATTTCTTTTCTTTTTTTTTTTTTTACTCTCTCTCCCTACCACGAAAAAAAAAAAGAAATTAATTCAACTTTTTCGATCGTACGTGTTCTCTCGTTCTATATAATATTCTTAGATTAGAAATGAGTGAGTGATCGAGAGAGGAAAAAAAAGAAAAATTATATACAAGTAATTACGAGAGAAGGAAAGCCGAAAGCGCACTCCCTTTTATCGTAGTAGTGGAACGACACGAGGAGAAAGAGTGGCAAGTCGGTGGCAAACGACGAGGGCGACTGCGGTTGGCCGTCGAAACGCGCCGTGCGCGCTCGAAGAGGACAGGACGAGAGTCTCCGCGAGCTTGATTATCTGAGACCGTTGAAGGAAAGAGAGAGAGAAAGCGCGCGCGAGAGAGAGAGAGAGGGGAGGAGCGAGAGAGAGAGAGAGAGAGAGAGAGAGAGAGAAAGAGGGAGAGTAACGACAAGGGCACACACGAGAGAGGAGACGATGTGGACCACGCCGAGGACACGCCGTGTCTGAAGCAAAGCCTTGCCCAGTCGCAAACGGGGGTTACGGACTTTGCTTTCGATTTCCTATCCCCCCCCCCTCTCTCACAATGTCTCCCTATTCTCCCTCTAAATCCCCTTTCGACCAGGTTTATATATCTCCTCACTTTTTTATATACAATATACAATATATTCGATGTCGATATTCGGATCAGAGTGATTGATCTCCAACATGATTTTTTTGATTTCTATTGGTTCGTTTTGTTTAACATTTTAGATTTTAAAGAGACAGAAAGAGAGAGAGAGAGAGAGAGAGAGAGAGAGAGAGAGAGAGAGAGAGAGAGAGAGAGAGAGAGAGAGAGAGAGAGAGAGAGAGAGAGAGAGAGAGAGCGAGAGGAATAGAGAGATAATGATGATTCATAAGAGGTCGTTATGGCGCTTATTTCTGTTATCTCTTTTAGTTTTATTTCTATCTTTTAGAAAGAGAGAAAGATGATCTATAATAAGATCGATGTGATATTTATTTCATTCGTTGTCTTTTTTATTTGTATTATTTTAAGATTTAAGAAAGAGAAAGAGAGAGGAAGAGGTAGGGAGAGAATATAATTAATAATAGTTGCGTATTTCCCAATAAAAATACAACGCCTTATAATAAAATAATTATTATAAAATGTTGGCTTAAAAAAATGTTGAGTGAATATCGACATCGAAATTGAAACAATTAATTTTTAAACTTCCCTCTGAATTATTAGAGTAAATTTTAGAATGAACATTCAGAAGTGTCCGTTTTCTCTTTAAGTACAGTGTCTCTGAGTTTAGTAGAGAGGGAAAGATGTGCGAAGGGTGGGGACAGGCAAAGGCCGCACTTTAATACGCTCCTCCCGTTTTCTTCTCTCTTTCCTTCTCTTAAACCCTCTATACCTTCTCGTTTCTCATCATTTTTCACGTATATTTTCTTTTGTTTTTCTAATCTCTTTCGATTATTATTTTTTAATCGCCTATGAGACTTAACAAGTCGAGCGGTCATACACTCGTAGCTCCTGCGTGACGTGTCATGCTCTTTTTTGTACACGTCATACTCATTTCATGTTCAAAAACTTTTCATTTCGTCTCACGCGAATTTTCTCTTTGTCCTCTTCGTTTTGCATGTGAAACTAACTAGCTAGAATTTTTTCTCTTGTTTTCTCTCTCTTTATATATATATACATATGAGCCGGTGATTATGAAAGTGGTCTATGTCATATACACTGTTGAAAACAATTAGATCACATATTGCAACTGTTGTCTTCGTCAACACGGCAAATCATTTCTGAAATTATAGATGCGAAAAATCAATTCTTACAGTTTTCCAGGTCACTTTTTTTTCCTTCTTTCCCGTTTACCGATAGCTACTGTAAAATCTATTCATAGTAGTGGTGGTCCAATTGTTTTGAATAATTTATTATTTCTTTTAGAATATCATGATACATTTGAATTTGATTTATATAAAAAATTATTTTTCTCTAAAAAAGATCAAAAAAGTAAGCATTGTATATTTATTCCTAAAAAATAATTTTTTTATGTAATTTGAAACTTTTAATAATAGAGCGTCGCACAAAATATCCCAAATGATTTGGACCACTTTCATAATCTCCGGCTCATATATATATATATGTATATAGAGAAAGAAAGAAAGAGATGAATTGTCAAGGGTCTTACATAACATTCATCTCTTTTTATTAGAAAATTGTTCGCGTATCTCGTGAGTCCTTCAAATTATCCTCTCGTGTGTTCACCTTTCCTTCGAAATTTTGAATGGACGACCGTACGATCCATTCCTCTTCGAGACACGCGGCCAAATTTCTTGAAATGCAAAAACCAATGATCCATGGAATTTGTTGAAAAAATAAAAAGAAAGTAGAAAGAAGAGAGGTTGTATCTTGTAACTTGGGCGTTTTCTTTCAAAAGGGAAGATGTAATCGCGACCGACTTTCGACACGCGACTTATATGTTCTCTTTCTCTCTCTTTCTTTTTCTCCTTCTCTCTCATGTTTTTTCGCCTTCCACGAAGATCAAAAGTATGATCATCTTTTCTTTTTTTCGGAGGACGTATCTCTTTTGCGAACTCTTGCGTAAGAGAATGCGTGTGTGTGTATGAGTATATATATAAATAAATATATATATATATATATCTTTACAGATACACCTTCTTCCTCTTTTCTTGGACAATTATATACCTACAATTTTGGTCCCTTGTTTTCTACTGGCAAAAGCAGACATCTTTCACGGTTCGAAAGGCGTTTCACGCGGTTAAGAATTATTGTATACTTCTTCTTCTTCTTCTTCTTCTTCTTCTTCTTCTTCTTCGTCTTCGTCTTTCTTCCTCTTCTTTCGTCACGAAGGTCGCGACGCTTTTTTTATATATGCACATAAGCGTGCGCGACGGAAGCTGGAGAAGAAGGATCCATTATCTCTTTTTTCTGAATGAGAGGATCGGTCGGTTCATCCTTTTAACGAGTGATCTGAAAGAATAATTATTTTCAGGTATAAACGGAGACGATTATTTAAGGATATTGCGAGGGAGTCGATTACTCTACCTTTTCCCTTTATTTTTTTTCTTCTTTTTTTTTTCATATGATCCTAAGTTTATTTTTGTTGCTTAAAATTAAGTTTAATGTTGTTGCTTAAAAATGAGGCATTTATATAAATTTTAATTAAAATATATTAGGACAATTGTAAGGACATTTATGAATCAGCCTAACATTTATTTATATATTAGATTGTCTATATTAAAATAATTGAATAAACTATGTAAATTTCTCAAGTTAGAAATAAAAGGGTGGGAGTAAAAATTAAGACGAATTAATGTAGACTGATGAGTGTTTTTCTGTGGCTTAGAAAAGATCAATGGTAATAAATGGAGTGTCGAATGACAAATAAACACGGAGGGTTAACCACACGCTACAACTTTATACTAGTCAGGACTCTAACGACCCCCTATGGGCTAATCGTATCCAACTCGAATACGTCTCGAGTACCATTGTACTAGAATTAAATCCCTTTTGGTTTTCGACACCCTGGTATATAGCATCATTCTTTCTCTCTCTTCCTCGATGCTTGACTTCTCTTTGGAGATGTAGGAAGACAGGTTGTGCACATTCACGGATCATCGCCCCCTAACTGGTCTCCTGCTCTTTGCGGTTTGTCCAAATGTTGTGTCGAACGTTTTTCTTTCTCTCTCTCTCTCTCTCTCTCTCTCTCTCTCTCTCTCTCTATCTGTCTGTCAGTCTATGTCCGTCTCTCCTCAACCCTCTTCTCGATCTTTTATTTTGCTCCCACTTACACTGCTCGTTTCGCTTCGTCGACTCTTGTTTTATGAACTGATTTATGTCAATGTATTCTGTTGTATGTACCACGATCGGCATTAAAATATTTTTTTAATTATTTGTTTGCGTTTTAGTTTCGTTGTTACTTTTTTAATCTATTTATGAATATTGCAATTTGTTAAATTTGCATATTTGGTTCGATTGAAAATTCTAATATTACATACGAGCATATTATTTTTATTATACTATGTAATCCTTAAAAAGATTAATATATTGAAAGAAACAATTGAACTCACCATGCATTTTCAATTGGTTTGTGTGAAGGAACTATTTTTTCAAGAAAGGAAACACGAAATTACGTTGGGTCAATCAGATAAAAGGACGTAATACCGAAGAAAGAGCGTCGGTGGCAACTCACCCCTAACGAGGAGTAAAGTATCAGATGGTTCGGTAGATTAATTTATGAGCGTCGAGCGAGGCGGTAGGACTTTTTAAAAGAGGAAGGTTAAAGCGTGTCGTGGCCTGGCAACCCCGTCGTCCTCGTCCTCGTCCTCATCGTGTATGTCGGAAAGCAACGAACACCGACGGCCAACGATGACGACGACGACGACGACAACGACAACGGCGACGACGACGACGACGACGACGACGACGACGATGACGATGACGAAAGGGCAGGTGAAAATGTTTCCAACCCCCGTTCTTTTGAACCCTCGACAATGTTTTAATCCTCCTCAATGTTTCTTTTTTTCTACTAACATTTCTATAGGACTTCTGTTTTCAGGTATTTTCCTTTTCAAGAATTGACCTTTTCCTTTCCTTCTTCCCTTTGCCATAATTGGACTATGCCGGAAAGATCTTTTTCTTATTATTCTTCAAATCAACGAGACGATAATAGGTACACCTGTAACATAATGGGTAATTATTATATCGAATTTTTTTTATAATATTGGTATTTCTTTCTTTTTCTCTTGTGAACCGTGCAATAAGATTTGAGCGATTATTTAAGTAATATCTCCAAGAATTTTCTATGTCTTTGTGAATGGGCAAAGAAAAATTGATAAATGATAACATAGATAAAAATTAGAGAAGAAAAATTAGGGAAAAAGAAACAATTATTTTGTTTCTGTCTTTTTGAAAGAAATGAAAATTAAAGGAAAGAAAAAAGAAGAAACAGTAGGAAATAAATTTAGATAGAAAAAGAAGTTAAGCAGAGAGAGAGAGAGGCTGAGAGAGAGAGAAGGAGCACATTTCCTCGGTGTAATTTCATCGAGAGGATAATAATAATTTTAGCTTCGAAAAGACGCCGGCAGCTGGTCGAAGATGCATCAAGATCGTCCTCTCTTTTCGCATGCTTAGAAAGAGAGCTGCCTTTTATTTTTTTTTTGTTTCTATGACCGGTCTCTTCTTCTTCCCCACATAAGATTTCACGGGGTACACAGCCCCGATCAAATATTAATCTCTCGGTCAAAATCGCAATTTATGGAGGCCGAATTGCCGTCCTCATCTTCTTCGTCATCTTCGTGTCCAACAAAGAGAGAGAGAGAGAGAGAGAGAGAGAGAGAGAGAGAGAAAAAGGACAATTTCGAGACGCAAGGTGTATCCTCGATTTTCTATGGATCGATTAGGGTGAAGGGCCTCGGCATGATCTTCTTTTCTACAGCAGTCTTTTACTTGAGAAATGTACTTCTCAATTATTTTTAAAAATTATCTTTTCATTTTCTTTCTTTCTCAACAAATTTTGAACATTATCATCCTTTCCTCTAATTCCTTCTGACATTAATTATAACTAATATATCTATGATTTATGATTAGGATGAGCTCAAAGTTTCTTGATGATTTTAAATAAAAATCAATTACTCTTAGGATTACAGTTTTACACATTTGAACAAAAAAATTAACCCACAATGTCTCGAAAAAGAGTGATCGATTTATTTAAAAAATCGCCTAATAGAAACATTTTTGGCCCATCTAGGAACTTTTGGGCCACCCTGGAAAAAGAAAGAAAAAAAAAGAAAAAAAAAAAGGAAGAAACAAAAGGAGTGGTAAGAGAATTAGTGAATCGCGATTACTATCATCGTCGCGTTTAGTATAGAGGGAAGCCGCGGCAACACATCCTTCCTTCGTTTCTGTAGCCCCCTTCACATTCGAACGATAAGATCGGCCTTCCTGAATGGCCGATGACACCCGCACTGATACCTTCCTCTTCAACGATTGGCCCACTCAGGAAGCACTCGTTATTAGAGAGTTACACCGATTGGCGGCTCTTTGGAACGCCCAGGAAGGATGCGCGCAGCTGCCAGGACATGCGTAATCCGACGGTTGATCGACGTCAACGTCGACGACGCCGACGTCGAGGGAGTCGAAACTTCTCCTACTCCTACTCCTCTTTTCTCTACCTCCCACCGATATCGCTTTTTTTCCTCTCTTTCCTTCCTTCCTCTCCCTCTCCTGTATCTCTACCTCTTCCTTCTTCTCCTCCTTCTCTTTCTATTCCTTTTCTATCCGTGTGTTTGCTTCCATTCGTTCTAGACTTTCTAACAAGTTGATCGATTCATTCTCGTCGATGGTCTATATACATATATATATATATATATATATATATATATTATTTTTATATACTTATATAGCTATGATTAAATATTATTTATAAATTTGGATTCATGATATCTAGGCTTTTCGTTAGCGCATTTATGATCGTCGCAAAGTTGCTTTTCAAATATATAATTAAGCTTTGTATTAGGCAAGATTTATGGTTGTTGTATAGTAAAATAATATGCAAATTTAGACCTATAATAAAACTATAATCAAATCTATGAATACGCATAAAAAAAAAAGAAATGTCTGTAAGGCAATCAAGTTTTTTCTGTTTGTCTTAGAATGCGTTTTTACAAATCTTATTAAGACTTGGTAACATTGGTCGGACAATTTAAAGGTAAGGAATGAACACAGGTGTTAAATAAACGACATAAACGTCATAATATGTTCGGTCATCGAAAAGGAACAGCATCGAATTCGAAGAGTAAGAAAGATTTCATGGAAAGCTAAGCTCGAGGCAGCCATGGATGGATGGATGGCACATCCACTTGCGAATTTCGATAATCGTTAACCAATTGCTTTATTATTTCGGGCAGGTGCCAATAATGGGCGGTGGTCTTAGCCACGAGCGGTATATAGCTTTGTTATACAAATATTTGTGCTCGCCTTCGAATACTTCGTCCTTGCCGAAAGAAATGTAAAAAAAAAGGACGAAAAGAAAAAAACAAAAAAGAAAAAGTATTTAGAGCGAAGAATCTCGTAAAGTTGTAAAATAAAGAGTTGTAAATTATTATTGAGATACTCTCTCGAAGGGAAGCTTGAAAAACGTGAAAGCTTACAAAAATCTTTTTTTTCTTTTGCTACAATTATCGCCCCTGCAAAATGTCTTTTATCTAAAGGCAATCATTCTCTTTCTTTTCTCTGGTGCCCCGTGTAATTATTATATCCTCCGGCTATAATTCTACCTCTCCAAATAATAATTTTCACACCCAGTATATAACAACGATGTAATTTCAAGCGATAAACGTTCATTACTTATCTCTCCGTTTTGTTTTTTTACTTTATTTTTGGTCATAATCAACGATCTTTTGTCTCTTTCATTTCTTTTTTTATTTTTTTTTATTTTTTTGTTCACAAATTTCAACGTCTACATTTTTTCTCTTTTCTACTCATTTCCATTCAGAATATTTGGAGAAAAATAATTCCATCTCAAATTAGAATTCCATAGAAAATGCTATAAAATGTGAATCAATTTATGTAACACTAGTGCAAATAAATTAAGACTAATATCTCGATCTCTTTAACGTTGAAAAGAACTTAAAGAATTTTGATATATTTAGGTAAATGGACTCGAAGGAATAATTATTTCTCAGTCTCTCTTTTTCAAATAAGAGAAAAGAAAAGAAAAAATAAGAAGAACGCGTGGCTAATCGTAGCTAATCTGGCCTCGTTTCGACCGAATCTGCCGACTCGTTAATGACTCCGCGAAGAAGAAGAAGAGTGCAGTAATTTTTGGCTCTTCTAACCGTCGATAAAATATGAAGAAGAAAGCCGGTCCGTGCAGGTGCACCTTTAGGGATGGCTAAGGACAAGAAGGGACTTTAAACTAGCGTGATATCGATGCTCTGATTCGAACTGGATGTTGTAGAAGAAAAAAGTAGAAAAATAAAAGAGAAAAGAATTAAGAAGCATCCTAAAGAATTTCGAAAAATTTTACAAAAGATTTAGGATGAGAACCACTGAGAGACATTAAGCGTATTAATTACGCAAATTGTCAACTTTTCGTGACATTGTTTCGTTTACTAGATAGGCTATAAAAAAAAAAAAAGAAAAAAAAAGGATATAATCTATAAAACGATAAATTACAAATGAGACCCTTCTGTTGTAGTATCCAAAAAGATTAGGCTTGGTATAGTGATTGGTATGTGTGTATGTGCGTTTATGAAGTTCGTTATTATAGGGCAGATGTTAAATATCGCGCTTCTTTTTCATTTTTATTTTATCCTTTTTTTTATTTTTATTTCTTGTTTTTTTCGAGTACCTCCCTTCTTCTTCTTTTTTTTATGTTTTCTTGTCACCTTTCTTAGGATCCTCTAACGAATTTGCTTTGCTGTGAAAAAGGGGTAAAAGAGGATTGTGTTAGAGTAGTTCGTGCATGTGAAGTGTCACGAATTTAGGCTTCAAGTCGATTCGATATGGAACGCCTACTGATTTTGTCTCTCTCTCTCTCTCTCTCTCTTTCTCTTCCTCTTTCATACATTGACTTTCTCTTGTGGATTATGTTCCTTCATTCTTCAGTCTTATCGACCATCAAATAGATCTTTCCTTTTTTTTTTTAATCAAATCTATTAAATATGTAATTTTTAATATTGTAAGAGTACAACATCCTATATATTTGCTTTTTATGATTCATTTCAATGGCAATGAATCTCAAATTTTCATCATTTTTATCTTAATTGTTTTAATGATTGTGATCGATATCGACCAATGAACTATATACTTATATATCTCGAAATTTGATTGAGATAAACGAGTTGCGAAATGGAACTTACTGGTACGGCCACCTGTGTATCTCTTCAAAGTATATACCGAAAGAAAGGACAAGTAATTCAGTATGAAAATATACTTATACATAGTTTTATGTGTGTGTAAGTACATGGAAGGGTAAACGATGAAAATCCAGATGAAAAAAGAAAGGCAAGTAAAGCCTATTCTCGTTTCTTATCTTAAAGTCTCTCTCTCTCTCTCTCT